TTTGTCCACAGTTGGAGGCCAGGAGCTTGAGGCTGACCTTACCCAAATTTGTAAGGAGAACGGTCTGATGTATGGGACGGACATAGGCTGATCAGGGTAGGCCTCAGTTAAATGGTCTATGAATTATTCTTAATTATTCACACCCTCTTAACCCCCCAATCCGATTCTCATGGGTTCTGGTCGTGTGAAATATTGCTGGAGATGACCGGAGAAATTTTCGTCAGAAAAAATATCTTAATTAAAAACAGTTTCATTGCTTCATTATAATTTATTTTACGAAAAGGATGAGGGGGGCTAAGGTGGTGGGGGGGGGGATGGGGTAGGGTGAGAGGGGGAGTGGGGATGGGGAGGGTGGATTGGAGGGAGAGGGGAGTGGGAAGGATGTAGAAAGATGTATAGAGGGATGTATAGACGGAAACAGATGGATAGATAAATGGAAACATGGATGGATAGATGGACACACATTGGAGAGGTGGTCACAGTACTGTGTACGTTTAGGAGTGATCCTGAGCGGCATGGGTTCGAATCCTGGACGGGTCATTTAGAGTTCTTTATATATATATATATATATATATATATATATATATATATATATATATATATATATATATATATATATATATATATATATATATATATATATATGTTTTCAGAGTAGTAATTATTAAAAGCAAGATGTGCATATACATTTTATTCATATATTTGAAGAATTTGCATATTTATTCGTTTGTTTTTCAGCTGGAAAGCCTTAACATGAACAATTCCAATTATGAATGCGATATAGATAGAAAGATGTATCCCATCTCTCGGGCATACGCACTGAGAGTTTAATTTAATCCTAGAGAATGTCTTTGGCTAAAATTTATTTACTGATTGGTCAGTAAGCTATTGTTTTGACCATAATAATTAAACGACCCTCCCACAGTTGATATATCTTGAGGTTATCTTGAGATGATTTGTTTTAACCCCGAGAACCGCAGCAGGAAGTTGCTGTCCAGTGGACTCTTATGGCTAAATAGTAATAGAACTACAATGTCTAAAGTCTATCATGTTGGAAATTATTTATGGCATTATTATATAGACATCCAAATGGCCATATGAAACATCATTGGGTTAGGTAGTTGACTCTTGGCGTGACATCTCCGTAGATTTAATCGACGCATTTTTTTTCTCTTTCATGGAGTTCTCTCTCTCTCTCTCTATCTCTCTCTCTCTATCTCTCTATCTCTCTCTATCTCTCTATCTCTTTATCTCTCTCTCTCTCTCTCTCTCTCTCTCTCTCTCTCTCTCTCTCTCTCTCTCTCTCTCTCTCTCTCTCTCTCTCTCTCTCTCTCTCTCTCTCTCTCTCTCGTTCGTCGCCTTTCTTTTGCAAATAAACCAATATCCATTCATATATCTTTAAAATGACTAAGAACAATTCATCAAACACCTTCATCCTCTAACATCTCAACGCCAGAAAGGCGGTCAATACTTCGACACACATCAGTCGTCCGTCTTGACGTAACTATTAAACATGAAACAAAGAAAATCGGTCCCCCCTTCGATTTGCGTGGATGAGAGACTGTGTCTCACTTCCTGGCAGTAAGATGAGAACTCTAGTAGATCATGAGACATATGGGCAGGATACAATCATCTCTTTGCATGAGAACCGAGAAGGTCGGGACCTCTGTGAGAGTGATATTGATCTCGTTGATATTTGGATAACATGATCTCTGTGAGACTTTAGGATAACATGTTGTTATCCTAAGTAAGGTTATCCCTTAGGGAAGTTGAGGACCTCTTCGAGGGTTTGAGAGAGAAAGACCCCTATGAGAACATGACAAATATAGACCTTTGGGAGAACTGGTAATAAGTAGACCTCTGAACAAATATCTCTTGAGAACTGGGAAAATTAAAACTTGCATGGAAGCTGTAAAATGACAACATTTGCACATAAAATCTGCAAGATCTAGGAAGTTTTCTTCTTTTCTGAGAACCTGAAAACTCTTGGCCGACCACATCAAGTGACTCCATTATATTATCTAACATGTAATATTCCATTATGCCATTATAACACCCACTTTCTATATTACTATTAACACTAATGGAAGCAGCCTTGCTTGAGCTTCCTTGCCAGTATCTCAATGGTTATAGTTTACCAGTCTTGAATACTAAGAAAAGAGGTCTAGTCACTAGTCTTCCCCATCTGATGACAGCTGAAGGAGACTCAATCCTCCAATACCCATCTCTGGCCCCAAGTGTCCACCTGGTGACAGCTGAAGGAGACTCAATCCTCCAATACCCATCTCTGGCCCCAAGTGTCCACCTGGTGACAGCTGAAGGAGACTCAATCCTCCAATACCCATCTCTGGCCCCAAGTGTCCACCTGGTGACAGCTGAAGGAGACTCAATCCTCCAATACCCATCTCTGGCCCCAAGTGTCCACCTGGTGACAGCTGAAGGAGACTCAATCCTCCAATACCCATCTCTGGCCCCAAGTGCCCATCTGGTGACAGCTGAAGGAGACTCAATCCTCCAATACCCATCTCTGGCCCCAAGTGCCCATCTGGTGACAGCTGAAGGAGACTCAATCCTCCAATACCCATCTCTGGCCCCAAGCACTCCCATAGAGTCCACAAAAATCGAACAGATCGGAACATATTAACATTGCTCCTTTAATATGATTCCTTGACCACATCAGACCAAACCTCGCCTTTCCCTGGTTCAATTTCTTACCGTTTGCTCTTTGAGGCCATTTGTCCGTCCGCTTAGTATCGCATCCCTCATTGCAAGCCACTGAGACATCATCTTTTCTTGTTCCCTAAAGGTTCAGGATGTCTTCCAAGGCGATCTTTTCTTCCACGTGTAGATTATTATGTCTTGGACTTGTCTTCCAAGTCCCCTTTGGTTGTCTGTTATCATTAGGATGCAGCAAAAGTCTAAATATTTCCTCAGATATAACAGAATTTTGGATTTTTTCTTCTGATAAAAAAAAGGTTTGCTGCATTTTCTTAAGGTAAATTTAGAAGTTAAATTATAATAACGTGAAATATATTATAATTTATTTTCAAGTAACGGGTGTCAGACTTTATTATCCTTTAGTAATGTTATTGATAAGCATATATATATATATATATATATATATATATATATATATATATATATATATATATATATATATATATATATATATAATTTTCTTCCATCATAAAATAAGTTTTTGCTTCACATATGTGAGACATTTTTTCCATGATGTAATTAAAATCAAACTTGTGGTGAATTAATGTGAAATTTTGTTTTAAATTTCAACCTGATATACACGAAACTGCTTTTCGGAATCAAATCTATTTTAGGAAAATAAATATTTCTCTTGTGACACAGTGCTAGTTCTTTGATCTTGTTTGTTACTGCTACTTGTTTGTTTTTCTTGTTTGCTCCTTGTTTCAAACTGTTCTTAGTTTGCTACTGCTGTTAATTCACTGTTGCATTCATGTTCCTTTATTATCCCTTCTTACCCCCTTCTTATGCACCATTTATCCTTCCATCTTTCCTTCCTCTTTCATTCTAATTCCCTCTACCTCTGTTTCCTAGCTTTGTTGTTGTTTAAGATTCGCTACCTAGAACAAAAAGTTCCAAGTAGCACGGGCTATGGTGAGCCCGTAGTGGACTTTCCTAGCTGTCTGCTATTGCTCCTAGTTTCACTTTGTACACACCTAATGTAATTATGATACAGTGGCGTACTGGGTTAATGTATGTGTAAACGGGTGGATGGGGTGTATTGTGCATGCATATGTGTTCGTGTATGAATATGTATAGGTTGGTCCATACATATGAAAGAGACACATCTGGCCATCACTTAAGGGGAAGATCATCCCTGGAGCGTTACCATGGTAACAGGGGGGAAAGAAGAGCACTCTGAATCAAGGAGAGGATAGAGGCTAGAGGGTAGAGGATAGAGGATAGAGGGTAGAGGATAGAGAATAGAGGGGGACCTTACACCGAGCCGCGCACCGCCAAGAATTAAGTTACGGCTTTGTAATTTGGAGAACTTCGATATGGAAAGGTCATGTGGCTCCTCCAAAGTGTATTATGCACCTTTAAACAGCGAACTGGTATAGTGATCATCAGAGCTGTAGTGGAAGGGTGCTTCACGTGCCCTCGGGCGCTTTAGGGTACGGGGTTCAGTTTAGGGTACGGTATGGCTGTAAGAGGATCTGTAATGATACAGGTTACAAAAGCGGATGTTTTTAAAATTTAGATAAGTTTCTGTAGCATTTGGCGGACCGGCCGGGATGTAATGGGTATGTGGGCCGTGTAATGGGTATAATGGGTATACTCTAAATATACTGCAGGTATACTTCAGGTAAAGATCTGTTACTATTACTCTCTACGGTTGGGTGTGAACCTTTCTTATTTTATGAGGGGTTTAGTAGAGGGGATGTGTGTATGTTCTTATCCCTCTCTCTCTCATCTTATCCCCCCCCCTTTCCTCCTCATACTCCTCATAAGCCTCCTCCTCACACTGCCACCATCTCTCTGTCCCATCAGGTTCCTGTTATTGTCTCCTCGGCTAATGAAGGAGTTTCATACTGACGCTGGAATTCAGGAGGAAATTCTTTCAAACTCTTCCCTCTGTTTCCCCTCCCTCCACCCCTTCCCTCCCTCCACCCCTTCCCTCCCTCCACCCCTTCCCTCCCTCCACCCCTTCCCCCCCCCCCCTCCGTCCCTTTCCTTTCTCCGTTCCTTTCATTTCCTACCCTCTCTCCGTCCCTTCTTTAGGAAGGGATGGAGTGATTTTTAAGAATGTTTTAACAGTTTCAATAGCGAATTCGACGGAGTAGTTGGTACAAATGTATCGTGTACAATTGACGTGAGGCTGAGCTCAAGAGCTAGAGCTTATAATCTCCGTAGATACAAGTTAGCCCATGACTATTAACACACATATCCAAGTACTCAAACTTGCGTGACGTGGCGCAAGGTTCCTGAAGGTGTAATGCTGAAGACGTTCCTCTTCCTTGCAGGAGTTGGCGCTCCGACCTTCAGTGTGAACGGCCGCAGTAGGATGAACCACGTCGATCACTCCCCCTCACGTAAGTACCCAACTGCAGGTGTGTGACTACCCAACTGCAGGTGTGTGACTACCCAACTGCAGGTGTGTGACTACCCAACTGCAGGTGTGTGACTACCCAACTGCAGGTGTGTGACTACCCAACTGCAGCTGTGTGACTACCCAACTGCAGGTGTGTGACTACCCAACTGCAGGTGTGTGACTACCCAACTGCAGGTGTGTGACGTGACTGATGGAAGGCCAAAGGTCGTGACCTGGTCAGGTGCTTCAACTTTGACACCGTTGTTTTAGTGTCATTAAGTCACTCATTCTACTGTTTTTTTATGCTCAGAGATTTGCGGAACTATGCCAAAACGCTCCCACACAGACTGTCTTGCAACCCGTCTTCTTAAAAATAACGTCGCTTTTGGCTCGTATGCACACTATGGCCAAATTTGGACGTAATTTTAAATGAAATCGACTCATAAAAGTGACGTTCTGTCCCGTTTTCTGTTTAAGTCGTCCGACTTACTAGGCAAGGTTAGGAGAGGAAACTTTCAATTAACGTTTTTCATAACGTTTTGAAACTTTATGAGAATTTCCTGCCCACCTAACCTACCAGAGGACCCTTAACTAACTGTTGTTGAAAAAAAAATCCCAAATTTATTTTCATTTTCAAATTACGTCCACTTTCGGCCATACGGGTAAACGGCCAAAAGCGACGTTATTTTTAAGAGGACACTCCAATACACCCTCGCTACGGCGCTGAAGTGTGTGCAAGCTGGAGCCTCAGATCTGACCTATACTCACCTAATTATGCTTGCGGGGGTCGAGCTTTGGCGCTTTGGGTCCGCCTCTCAACTGTCGATCAACTGGTGTCTAGGACCAGGATTTAACAAGCAGTTAACGAAGTACTTCCGAACCTGTACATATTTTCTCAATCTTTGACGGCTTTGTTTACGAGCCGCTAGTAGGAGGGGCTAAACATCTCAAACAAATGTTGTTATTGATATAAACATCCTCCAGGCGCTTCGGAGTTTACAATATGTTTAATATATAAACAATATAATATATAATAACAATATAATATATAAACATCCTTTCTCCTAAAGATGAGAAAGGATGTAGAGGTACGTAAGTAGTTGCGTAAATGCTTGATGAATCCGGCTCCTGGTTCCTGAGCCTACTGGGCTCTATCATATCTACATTTGAAACTGTGCATGGAGTCAGCCTCCACCGCATCACTGCCTAATGCATTCCATCTGTTAACTACTCTGGCACTGAAAATGTTTTTTGTAATGTCTCTGTGGGTCATTTGGGAACTCAATCTCCACCTGTGTCCTTTGCAGTGAACGGACGTGGAAACATCATGACTATTTTATTTTTTTTGTCCACGAGTGGCTCCTCTGACACAGTGTCTCAAGAAATTTAGCTTTGCCACTGAATATGGATTTTCAAGGGTTACCCTGCAAGCTGTAGTCTTAGAGGCAGATGAGGAACCGTAGATGTTGGAGTTGGAAACCGTTGAAAACCGTTGGAAGCCGTTGAAAACCTTTTGAAAACCGTTGAAAACCGTTGGAAACCGTTGAAAACCGCTGGAACCCGTTGAAAACCGTTAAAAACCGTTAAAAACCGTTGGAAACCAAGCGACAACTATATAGGCGTAACAGGTTACATGTGTTAATTACGGGGCTATTCATGCCCATGCCACCTCTTGGGTGACTTAATGTTCATCAATCATGTGTTAACCTGTAATTGCTTATTTAGGCCTAGGACAGGTTAGGTTAAGTAAAGTGCTGCAGTTTTGTCCGGCCATTCAGTATAGTACAAATCGTGGCTTTATTTTTGAGTACAAACAGTCCATGTTTTGTACGTTCTATTCATAGTCACTATAGGTACTATAAGGTCTGGAGGATGGGCAGCATAAATGTGTGACCGATGGCCTAGTTAAGGAGGCCAGGAAAAATAGTCACCTTCTAGTAAAATAGCTAGATAGACTGCTCTTGGCCCAGTCGATAGAGCGTCGGCCTCACATGCATGGGGTCCAGGGTTCGAGACCCATACAGCCCCGGTGAATGGAATCACCTGTTGTTTTCAAGTGGGACTTTTATTTGTAATTCTGCTTAAATATTTAAATAAAGTCGTGAGTATTTTACCTGTAAGAGGCGCAGACAACAATGTCTTCTTGAATCATATGAATATTGGGTTTCATTGTAAGGAAGGTAAAGCTACAGATGTGTGGCTGTAGGTAAAGGTAAAGGTAACTTTACCTTTACCTGTGCAGGCGATGGAAACCGTTGAAAACCGTTGGAAACCGTTGAAAACCGTTGGAACCCGTTGAAAACCGTTGAAAACCGTTGGAACCCGTTGAAAACCGTTGAAAACCGTTGGAAACCGTTGGAAACCGTTGGAAACCATTGGAAACCATTGAAAACCAAGCGACAAATTTACCTTACCTTACCTACTTTACACAGGTAAAGTAGGAGTCTCGTTCACCTGCAGCGGCTGTCACATCTCCTAATGACGGGCTCATTACCCTCAGGAACGGAAGCTTGTTCCGAAATATATTTGCCAACAAATATTTTTTTAAAATTTGGGGCCAGATTCACGAAGCAGTTACGCAAGCACTTACGAACGTGTACATCTTTCCTCAATCTTTGACGGCTTTGTTTACATTTATTAAACAGTTTACAAGCATGAAAACTTGCCAATCAACTGTTGTTATTGTTATAAACAGTCTCCTGGTGCTTCGGGGCTCATTAACTGTTTAATAATTGTAAACAAAGCCGCCAAAGATTGAGAAAAGATGGACAGGTTCGTAAGTGCTTGCGTAACTGCTTCGTGAATCTGGCCCTTGATCTCCACTCTCCTGATCTCTATGGTGGACCATTTATTCCATTAGCTTGTCACCGAGTATAACTGTTCCGATTGCCGAGTTTTAATATATATATTAATTTATTTTTAACATCCGTTTTTATCGTAATTGATTTTAATTGTAGTCAATTTTATTGGTGGAGCTTCACCTGGCAACACCAGAGGCAGAATTTTCCATACTCTAGTTTTGTTTAATATTTTGTTATAGTATCTTATCTTGAGGTTATCTTGAGATGATTTCGGGGCTTAGTGTCCCCGCGGCCCGGTCCTCGACCAGACATCCACCCCCCAGGTAGCAGCCCGTGACAGCTGACTAACGCCCAGGTACCTATTTACTGCTAGGCGCTAGGGAACCGGTCGGCCGAGCGGACAGCACGCTGGATTTGTGATCCTGTCGTCCTGGGTTCGATCCCAGGCGCCGGCGAGAAACAATGGCCAGAGTTTCTTCCACCCTATGCCCCTGTTACCTAGAAGTAAAATAGGTACCTGGGTGTTAGTCAGCTGTCACGGGCTGCTTCCTGGGGGTGGAGGCTTGGTCGAGGACCGGGCCGCGGGGACATTAAAGCCCCGAAATCATCTCAAGATAAGATATATCAACTATACTGCCCCCAGAATGACTATAGGACCCACTACCACCCACAGGACGGGTATGAATTACATAATTCAATAATAAACTAAAGCAATTAATGGGTCGTGTCCCCTGTGGTAACTAGTAAAGGTTGACCAGACCACACACTAGAAATTGAAGGGACGACGACGTTTCGGTCCGTCCTGGACCATTCTCAATCGACTTGAGAATGGTCCAGGACGGACCGAAACGTCGTCGTCCCTTCAATTTCTAGTGTGTGGTCTGGTCAACATACTTCAGCCACGTTATTGTGACTCATCGCCTGCAAACTAGTAAAGCTTAAAAATTCAGATTTAAATAAAATAAAATACAGCTTTCTCCTGTATCGACCTCTTAATAAATCATAATCGTCTGGTTAATGCGGCCTTGGGCGTTGACAGGTTAATCTCCTCAATAAAACTGCCTACAATTAAAATGCAATTCGATACAAATGCCAAGTAAAAAATATTGATATATATTAAAACTCAGGAAATGGAATAGTTATACCCGGTGGCCGGTTAATGGAATAAATGGAATACCATTTAGAGATATCCGGAAGCCGGTAAAACGAGTATTGGACCGAAAATTTAATGGTATAAAAAGGAATATTTCGCCGAACTAACAAAAATAAAGTTATTTTGCTAACGCGAGTAATACCAGCGTTGAGTGGCTCTGAAAAATTATAATATCGCAGCAGGCTTTTACGAGTCCCTGGCGTAGTTTGCTACGAGTCCCTGGCGTAGTTTGCTATGAGTCCCTGGCGTTGTTTGCTACGAGTCCCTGGCGCTGTTTGCTACGAGTCCCTGGCGTAGTTTGCTACGAGTCCCTGGCGTTGTTTGCTACGAGTCCCTGGCGTTGTTTGCTACGAGTCCCTGGCGTTGTTTGCTACGAGTCCCTGGCGTTGTTTGCTACGAGTCCCTAGCGTATTTTTTTTTGTTTTTGAGATATATACAAGAGTTGTTACATTCTTGTAGAGCCACTAGTACGCGTAGCGTTTCGGGCAGGTCCCTGGAATACGATCCCCGCCGCGTAGAATCGTTGTTACAACCAAGTACACATTTTACTGTTGCGTTAAACAGAGGCTACAGTTAAGGATTTGCGTCCAGTAAATCCTCCCCGGCCAGGATACGAACCCAGGACAAAGCGCTCGCGGAACGCCAGGCGAGTGTCTTACCACTACACCACGGAGACTTACTACGAGTTTGTGTTTTGTGTGTGTTCTTGCGGGGTTGAGCTCTGCTCTTCTGGCCCGCCTCTCAACTGTCAATCAATCAACTGGAACTAACTACTAACTAACTCATTCCCCCCCCCCCCACACACACACACACCCAGGAAGCAGCTCCGTAACAGCTGTCTAACTCACAGGTACCTATTTACTGCTAGACAACAGGTGCATCAGGGTGAAAGAAACTTTACCCATTTTGTTTCTGCCATCACCGGAATCAAACCCGGACCCTAGAATTAGGAGTCCAGAGCGCTGTTCACTCAGCTGTCAGGCCCCCAGCTAGTGTGTATGTGTACTTACCTAGTTGTGCTTGAGCTCTGGCTCTTTGGTCCCGCCTCTCAACCGTCAATCAACAGGTGTACAGGTTCCTGAGCCTATTGGGCTGTGTGTGTGTGTGTGTATGTGTGTGTGTGTGTGTGTGTTTACTAGTTGTGTTTTTGCGGGGGTTGAGCTTTGCTCTTTCGGCCCGCCTCTCAACTGTCAATCAACTGTTTACTAACTACTTTTTTTTTTTTTTTTTTTTTTCCACGCCACACACACACACACCCCAGGAAGCAGCCCGTGACAGCTGACTAACTCCCAGGTACCTATTTACTGCTAGGTAACAGGGGCACTTAGGGTGAAAGAAACTTTGCCCATTTGTTTCTGCCTCGTGCGGGAATCGAACCCGCGCCACAGAATTACGAGTCCTGCGCGCTATCCACCAGGCTACGAGGCCCCCATCCACCAGGCTACGAGGCCCCCATCCACCAGGCTACGAGGCCCCCATCCACCAGGCTACGAGGCCCCTACGAGGTGTGTGTATGTGTGTGTGTGTGTGTGTGTGTGTGTGTGTGTGTGTGTGTGTGTGTGTGTGTGTATGTGTGTGTGTGTGTGTGTGTGTGTGTGTGTGTGTGTGTGTGTGTGTGTGTGTGTGTGTGTGTACGCATGTCCACTTTTCTATATTCATGTGTGAATGCTTGTATGTTGGTGAGTGTCTGCCGTGAGAGAGAGATGAAACAAGTGAATTAATGAATAAATGAGAATAATGAATGAAGAAGACGCGAGTCGGATACGCGAGTCCTTATGAATGGAGTGCTTACCTGGAAATCATGGGATGTTGCCATGGCAACCCCGGTATCTTAGTAATCTCCTTGGCTTTCTCTGAATGCTCTGATGATGCCCTCTTGTGACCCCCCGCCTCCCCCGTCCTTTTGACATCACTTTGACCTCTTTTTGGCTTCCCTTTCTTACGTCCCCTTTTGATGGCCCCTTTTCATCTGCCCTAATCCTGCCTATTCCACTCGTTTCTGTCCCCTTTTCCTCATGCTATTTCTGACCCTCCAGCATCCAGGGGGCCCGTTTTCTGTCTTCTCTCTCTGTCCATTTCGTTCGAGTCAACAACGGTGTTTAAAGATATAATTATAAAATATTTTTATGTCCTCTTTAATATGACGAGAAATTCTGGAGATGAGATATTAATTTAATTAGTTGCGTTACCTGGGAGATGCTGTAGCTAACGCTGCTACATGGGTATTTGGGTGTGAGACTTCTCCCATGTGTGTTCACTTCTCCCAATTATCACTTCAAGGAAAACGGTTTCATGTCGTATCACATCAAAGAAAACGGTTTGCTGTCGTATCACTTCAAGGAAAACGGTTTCCTGTCGTATCACATCAAAGAAAACGGTTTGCTGTCGTATCACTTCAAGGAAAACGGTTTGCTGTCGTATCACTTCAAGGGAAAACGGTTTGCTGTCGTATCACTTCAAGGAAAACGGTTTCCTGTCGTATCACATCAAAGAAAACGGTTTGCTGTCGTATCACTTCAAGGAAAACGGTTTGCTGTCGTATCACTTCAAGGGAAAACGGTTTCATGTCGTATCACTTCAAGGAAAACGATTTATGTCGTATCACATCAGAGAAAACGATTCGCTGTCGTATCTGTTAGATTATAAATCATAGTTCCCCCTCCGCCTAGAGTGTGTGTGTTAAAATTTATTATATATAAACTAACGAATATAATAATAAATTTTGGAGTTCTAGTACTGTAATAGATCATTATTGTGCTAGAGCTTCAACTCTTTTTCAATAATGGATCATGATTTATTTATATAGAACATTGTGTATTTATATAGAACATTTATATAGTACATTGTGTTTGTAAGAATACATAGCCTAGTATTTACAATCTTGTAAAGTCACTAGTACGCGCAGTGTTTCATGATGGTAAATAATAGACTATCTTGAGGTTATCTTGAGATGATTTCGGGGCTTTTTAGTGTCCCCGCGGCCCGGTTCTCGACCAGGCCTCCACCCCCAGGAAGCAGCCCGTGACAGCTGACTAACACCCAGGTACCTATTTTACTGCTAGGTAACAGGGGCATAGGGTGAAAGAAACTCTTCCCATTGTTTCTCGCCGGCGCCTGGGATCGAACCCAGGACCACAGGATCACAAGTCCAGCGTGCTGTCCGCTCGGCCGACCGGCTCCCCGTGTGTGTGTGTGTGTGCGTGTGACTAGACTACAAACAGTACTTTGACCCCAATTTTTAGTGACCAATTTTCAGAGAGGACCTTAGTCCATTTCACAGTTTGCATACCTGATATAAACTACTGTGTATAGATATCTGACAGGTATAGAACATGGTTCTCTGCTTTAGTAATGCTGTAGAATGAAAAGGTAATCTTTTTCATCTCTGGCCATCTTTTCATTTTTCATTCTAGAGGCGTCGAAAAATGGAGAACAGAATTACCCAAGGAGTTGTAGTAGTGCATAGTTTCCACCGTAAAATAACTACACAGTGTTGGCGAATAGGCAGTTTTGTATGCAAATTGAAAGTCAGGTGTGTGTCTAGGGAAATCCACTCAAAATTTCATGTTTTTAAAATCGTAAGATTGAGCTGGATGGAAGAGTGGAAGAGGGTGAATTGGTTTTTGAATTTTGGTGTGTATATTTGGGTGACTTCTGCCCTGTATGGTGTATTATCTTCACTGTTGTGTGTGTGTATGTTTGGGTGGCTTCTGCCCTGTATGGTGTATTATCTACCCTGTTGTGTGTATGTTTGGGTGGCTTCTGCCCTGTATGGTGTATTATCTACCCTGTTGTGTGTATATCTGGCTGACTTCTGCCCTGTAAGGTGTATACTTATAAACGATTAGTAGCCGCTATATATATAAAATGTTAGTCCGAGGTTAGAGGCCAGACACGTTAGGCTAGTCTCACTCAACTTTCACACATGAAGCATGTGGGGTATGGGAGTGTCGTAGGCCAGTCGGGGTCGGCTCCAGTGATAACCAATAGGAAATATTGGCATCTAACCACCCCTCCTCCATGCAATTATCATGAAATCTGAAATATTAGTTGTGTTTTCCGTAGACTTTTTACCCATTTCGGTTCGTTATGTAATTTTTCTGAGAAAGAAGGGGGAAAAGAGGGTAGAGAGGGAGTGAGGAGGGTGAAAGGTGAAGAGTAGGTGAAGGGAGAGGTGAGAAAGAAGAGAGGGGATATAGGGAAAGGGATAAGACAAAGGAAAGGAGGACCTAGGCGCATGCCCCCTTCCAGAAACAATTAATAACCACATTTTCTATTTGTGTGTCCATCAGTTATCTTAGGTTGGGTTCGGGTAATCTAATACATCATTTTTGCGACGTTGTGAAGACTCAAGAGGACGGGTCGATTAACTACTCTCTCCCTACTAAGTAATTTTCACCCCTCTATTTCCAGATGAGCTACGCTCTGACACGCAGCATTCACACCCCCGTCTCTGTTCTTTTCCAGCAGAGGAGGTGACGGCGGAGGTGGTTGGGCAGTATCTGAGGGCCCACCCGGAGTTCCTGGAGGCATGGCTGATGGAGCAGGTGGAGCTGGAGACCCTCGAACGATGGATGATCCGACGCACTCAGAGAGACAAACAGAAAAGCTTGGAGAATGGCACCAATGGTGAGGCTGTGTGTGTGTGTGTGTGTGTGTGTGGGGGGGGTGGGGGGGGGGGTGGGGGGGTGCACTCACCTAGTTGTGCTTGCGGGGGTTGACGTTTGGCTCTTTGGTCCCGCCTCTCAACAGTCAATTAACTAGAAAAAAGCACACACACACACACAACTGTATATGTGTGTGTGTGTGTGTGTGTGTGTGTGTGTGTGTGTGTGTGTGTGTGTGTGTGTGTGTGTGTGTGTGTGTGTGTGTTTTATTCAGTTGATATCACTAGATAAGACGTCAGGATATTTAAAATTACATTTTTTTGTTACGAATAAGAATGGACTATCTTCCTTCTGCGACGATAAGAAATTCTGTCGAGAACTTGGACCATATCTCCTAGGCTGACAGACACACATTTTCACACGCAGAAAACGAGAATGAAAAGTATCTTTAGCAAGGAAAAGCAGGACAATGACGGAAACATATAAAAGGACACATACGGAACTTGTTCTTTTTCAAAGGAGAAGTTCTTATATTACTGTGGTGGCGAACGCTGAAGAAAAATAGAAAGAAAGAAAGAAGTTAGGAGAATAGAAAGAAAAGGAGCGAAATTAACCTCAGACTTTCAGTAGTCATCGCTAGTCTTGGGACAAACGGGCATCTGCCTTCATTTTTCTTGAATTAACGTCAGTAAATTATAAAAAATACAATATTTTTCTTCACACGAGTTGCTAGCCTCGTGAAGGAACATATTCGCTCAAAGTTCAGGCTTTTCATGGTCCTATAGAGACAAAGTTTCCTCTTTCAAAGACTGCTTTATATGAGAGGTCAATAACCATTTCATACCTGGCCTCCTCACACCTGGCCTCATCACACACCTGATCCTATTACACCTGACACCTGTCTTACCACCTCACATGTGGCCACCTCACACCCGGCCATACGTGTCCCCATATAGTGAGAAACTATTTCACAAAATCCATTTTATGAATATGGCAATAGTTAGAAAAGCAACAGGAGTTCAATATATATCTATTGTGGTGCCTTACACAAACCAAATATATATATATATATATATATATATATATATATATATATATATATATATATATATATATATATATATATATATATATATATATGTATATCGAGGCTTATACGTCAAAATTTGACGCAGAGTTTGAAAGGACGCGCTGGAATAGGCTTCCCCCTCCGACGCAGGGCGAAGACTGCCTCACAAAAATGCGCCTATGCTACTTTACAGACATTCTCACCCATTCACAACTCAACCACCATGTTACCTAACGCTAATTTATAAAAGAAAATTTATATTAGGAAAAATATTAAAAGTGGTAATAATACAAACTGACAGTTAACACAAATGTCTTTTTTGACTTCCAAGTGGCAGCCTCGACAACAGCTGCTCTACTTAAGAGAGCTTCAAGTAAGTGTCCTCAGTTGTCACTTAAGCCATGCACCTTTGTTATCAAGGCTCGTCCAGGTGTGTGAGCTGATCTTCAGAAGACTTAAGATTTTTCTTTGTTACAATGATAGCTGTTAGTGGATTTCCCTCCGTATTGGGTAGGGGCCAGATTCACGAAGCAGTTACGCAAGCATTTACGAACCTGTTCATCTTTTCTCAATCTTTGGCGGCTTTGTTTACAATTATTAAACAGTTAATGAGCTCCGAAGCATCAGGAGGCTGTTTATAACAATAACAACAGTTGATTGGCAAGTTCTCATGCTTGTAAACTGTTTAATAAATGTAACCAAAGCCGTCAAAGATTGAGGGAAGATGTACACGTTCGTAAGTACTTGCGTAACTGCTTCGTGAATCTGGCACTGACCAATGCTGAGTCCTGGCTAATACGGATGGCTTCGAGAATCCGCATTTGTCACACGAACGCCAAGGCACCTCGATAATCCGGATTTGTTATTCTCATCTCCGATCCTCTCGCTCACACTCCTGTAGGAGTTTGAGGATGTAGCACAGGAGTAGCAACGGTGCACATGTACACAACCATAGAACCACAACCACAACCATAGAACCACAACCACAACCATAGAACCACAACTAGTCCCATGACGTATCTTCTTAGTTTATTAACAGACATTCGCGAGAAACTCCGTTTTCCTTCGTAAAATATATAATTTTTCTCGTCTCGAAAGAGAAGCGCTCATTGGTCGACTGATCAGCCATTATATGATACTAATTGATCGATTTTGCTAACGAGAAGTAGATTCTTATTGATCAATTTTTAATGATTAGATGATTCGTATTAGTTCATATTACGTCAGCTAGTATTGTTGTTGTTATAGATTAAGCTACTCGGAACAAATTCCAAGTAGCCCAGGCTATGGTGAGCCCGAAACTTACCTGGCACAAGAGCGGGGCAAGTAGCACGAGCTATGGTGAGCCCGCAGTGGACTTACCTGGCACAGGAGCGGGGCAAGTAGCACGGGCTATGGTGAGCCCGTAGTGAACTTACCTGGCACAGGAGCGGGGCAAGTAGCACGGGCTATGGTGAGCCCGTAACTTACCTGGCACAGGAGCGGGGCTGTGTGTCGTTCCAGCGAGTATATATAAAATATGCGCGTTTTTCACTAGCTATTTTTTTAATTGGTTTGACGTCTCAGGCGAACGATTACTAGGCAGATGGGTAACCGTCACTGCTATAGACTCCTAGACAAGTAACTGTCACTGCTATAGACTCCTAGACAAGTAACTGTCACTGCTATAGACTCCTAGACAAGGTAACTGTCACTGCTATAGACTCCTAGACAAGTAACTGTCACTGCTATAGACTCCTAGACAAGTAACTGTCACTGCTATAGACTCCTAGACAAGTAACTGTCACTGCTATAGACTCCTAGACAAGAAACTGTCACTGCTATAGACTCCTAGACAAGTAACTGTCACTGCTATAGACTCCTAGACAAGTAACTGTCACTGTTATAGACTCCTAGACAAGTAACTGTCACTGCTATAGACAACCATAAGACATCCCAACAGCCTTTGAAAGTGAGAGCAATAACAGGACAACAGGAACGGCGTGAAAGGGAAACATATTCCCAACAGTGACTGTGAAATGTAACAGTTAAACAGGTGTGGCTGTCTGTTGTTCCTCAAGTAACCAGTAGAAATCTTGTATCATGCGGAAGATACGGATTTTCGGTTATCAAATTCCTGGTAGCCGTATCTTGCGATTCATTGGCCTCTCCGGTTCAGTGTTTCGAATCCGACTCGCGCGTCAACGAACGCGTCCTTACCGCCAAAATGATTACTGCTTGAGGAGCAGAGTGTGGTCAAGGGAAGTAATGAAGCGAATAAGCTTTTCTAGTAACAGATCCAACGTTTTGGTGGAGTTAAGCTTTCCTTGATGTCAGAGGCGGATTCAAAACAAAGCCGAGCTTCCACTGATGTCAGAGCCGGATTCAAAACAAAGCCGAGCTTCCACTGATGTCAGAGGCGGATTCAAAACAAAGCCGAGCTTCCACTGATGTCAGAGCCGGATTCCCAACAAAGCCGAGCTTCCACTGATGTCAGAGGCGGATTCAAAACAAAGCCGAGCTTCCACTGATGTCAGAGCCGGATTCAAAACAAAGCCGAGCTTCCACTGATGTCAGAGCCGGATTCCCAACAAAGCCGAGTTTCCATTGATGTCACAGCCGGATTCAAAACAAAGCTGAGTTTCCACTGATGTCAGAGCCGGATTCCCAACAAAGCCGAGTTTCCATTGATGTCACAGCCGGATTCAAAACAAAGCCGAGCTTCCACTGATGTCAGAGGCGGATTCAAAACAAAGCCGAGCTTCCACTGATGTCAGAGGCGGATTCAAAACAAAGCCGAGCTTCCACTGATGTCAGAGCCGGATTCCCAACAAAGCCGAGCTTCCACTGATGTCAGAGCCGGATTCAAAACAAAGCCGAGCTTCCACTGATGTCAGAGCCGGATTCCCAACAAAGCCGAGCTTCCACTGATGTCAGAGCCGGATTCAAAACAAAGCCGAGCTTCCACTGATGTCAGAGCCGGATTCTCGACAAAGCCGAGTTTCTATTGATGTCAGAGCCGGATTCAAAATAAAGCCGAGCTTCCACTGATGTCAGAGCCGGATTCGAAACAAAGTCAGCTTCCTTGGTTATAATAGAATCTGATTCGAAACCCAACCTGGTTAACTTGAAGCTACTTAATATGTGAAAAAGTCTTCTGGGCTTCGAGACCACAAGCCAAACGTCTGTTAAGTTCTTCAAGAAGTTGCATAAGACACTTCTTTTCGGACATTGAAAGAGGGTTAAGGTGCAACATAAACTTTCAAACGGAAATTGAAAATCAGGGAAAGGTATTGTCTGAAAATTGTTTTCATTGTCGTATTTAATTTGCCAGAAGTCATAAACGCTGCAATGAGAGAAGGAATTCGATGCATGATATCCTAAGCTTGATATATTATCATATATCAAGCTTAGGATATCAGCGCCGTCGCCTGAATGAAGCAAAACACAAAATGGGATTTGATCGAATTTTTGGAACACGTGGATTTTCAATCAGAAAATCTGCAAGTTTCCCGCCAAAAAATATTGATATCATCTCGAGTCGTAGATTGCAATCTTCCCTTCTTTTGTTATCATACCCTATGGACACGGTTCCTGTCCTTAAAGGCCCAGGGAGACCGTATTTCACCTTCGGATTACCTGGCTTCGTATTTCATCAATCTCTGGATCCCACAGCGGAACATAGGAAACGAATACAGATTATAAATCCGGATTTCCCTCTCGAACGAGCTCCCCAAAATTCTTGATATTTTTCAAACAATGTTTCTTATGTTAAACATCTAATTAAGGATAATCAACAATTCAGAATTAGGTAGATACGCAGAAGTAAATTATTAATTATACGAAATTATAATAATAATGTGTGAATGATTCAATATTTTGCTTCCGTTGACGCAATATCGTGCCTCTATAGACGTAATACCTTGCCTAGATTGACGCAATACCTTACCTAGATTGACGCAATACCTCGCCTCCATTGACGCAATATCTCGCCTCCAATGACGCAATACCTCACCTCCATTGACGCAATACCTCACCTCCATTGACGCAATACCTCACCTCCATTGACGCAATACCTCACCTCCATTGACGCAATACCTTGCCTCCATTGACGCAATACCTTGCCTCCATTGACGCAATACCTCGCCTCCATTGACGCAATACCTCACCTCCATTGACGCAATACCTCGCCTCCATTGACGCAATACCTCACCTCCATTGACGCAATACCTCACCTCCATTGACGCAATACCTCACCTCCATTGACGCAATACCTCGCCTCCATTGGCGCAATACCTCGCCTCCATTGACGCAATACCTCGCCTCCATTGACGCAATACCTCGCCTCCATAGGTTCATTATTAACCTGCTCATTGTATTATTATATAAAAGCCGCCCATGAACTCGGCTTATAGACGTCTCCACAACAGCTGCACAGAGTCAGAGTATCTTTAGTAGCTGCGCAATGTGAGTATCTTGAGCAGCTGCACAATGTAACTGTAGCAGCTGCACAATGTGCGTATCTTTAGCAGCTGCACAATGTGTGTATTTTTAGCAGCTGCGCAATGTGAGTATCTTGAGCAGCTGCACAATGTGACTGTAGCAGCTGCACAATGTGCGTATCTTTAGCAGCTGCACAATGTGCGTATCTTTAGCAGCTGCACAATGTGTGTATTTTAGCAGCTGCACAATGTAAGTATTTTTAGCAGCTGCACAATGTGAGTATCTTGAGCAGCTGCACAATGTGAGTATCTTGAGCAGCTGCACAATGTGAGTATCTTGAGCAGCTGCACAATGTAACTGTAGCAGCTGCACAATGTATCTTGAGCAGCTGCACAATGTAACTGTAGCAGCTGCACAATGTGAGTATCTTGAGCAGCTGCACAATGTAACTGTAGCAGCTGCACAATGTAACTGTAGCAGCTGCACAATGTGCGTATCTTTAGCAGCTGCACAATGTGTATTTTTAGCAGCTGCACAATGTGAGTATCTGTAGCAGCTGCGCAATGTGAGTATCTGTAGCAGCTGCACAATGTGAGTATCTGTAGCAGCTGCACAATGTGAGTATCTGTAGCAGCTGCGCAATGTGTTTTTATCAGCTGCACAATGTAAGAGTATTGCAATTGCACAGAGTAAGATTATTTCAGCTGCACGGATTGAGAGTTTAGCAGTTGCACAGAGTAAGAGCATACCTCAGCCTGTCACTGGTGTCAGCCTGTCACTGGTGTCAGCCTGTCACTGGTGTCAGCCTGTCACAGGTGTCAGCCTGTCACAGGTGTCAACCTGTCACTGGTGTCAGCCTGTCACTGGTATTGTCATGCACTGGGTGTCATACCTCTCATTCATTTGTCTTTCCTCCTCCTCTTCCGTCTCTCTCTCTCTCTCTCTCTCTCTCTCTCTCTCTCTCTCTCTCTCTCTCTCTCTCTCTCTCTCTCTCTCTCTGTCTCTCTCTCTCTCTGTCTCTCTCTCTCTCTGTCTCTCTCTCTCTCTCTGTCTCTCTCTCTCTCTCTGTCTCTCTCTCTCTCTCTGTCTCTCTCTCTCTCTCTGTCTCTCTCTCTCTCACACACTCCAATAAGAACGTATATATAACACAGGTGTGTATCTCCCTACAGGTAAAATCATTCGAAAGACGAGTCTCTCCCGCTGGAAGGTAAGCTGACCTTTGTACACCTGTTGACCTCATACATGACCTTGAGGTCAGATGGTACTGTGTGTGTGTGTTTGTTTTAACTGAACGCTTCATAAAGTTTACAAAAAACTAAGGTCAAAGGTCATATTCCAAGGACAGAAATCAGGGACAGATCTGAAGGAACTTATCTAACATTCTAGATAGTAATTCTGTTTTTGCATTAGGCCATTGCTGTGTCAAGGGATTTGTTTATTCCCTGGAAGCCTAGCCCAGCCAGCACAGCTAGGGCAGCCTAGCCCAGCCAGCACAGCTAGGGCAGCCTAGCCCAGCCAGCACAGCTAGGGCAGCCTAGCCCAGCCCAGCCCAGCCCAGCCCAGCCCAGCCAGCCAGCCAGCCAGCCAGCCAGTACTGGCATGGCTCCGGCCCTAGTCATGTGTGAGTGGGGGAGTCTGATGGAAGCCGCGCAGGCAGCGGAAATAACAGTGAAGTGCCTGTTATGTTTCCCGGACATTTCTGGCCCGATGTGGCCTGCACCTCTTCACAATAACATCCCGCATCTTCCCTGCCTCGCCTCCGGCCTGCCTCTGACCTTCCTCCGGCCTGCCTCTGACCTTCCTCATTTTAGAGCATGGTACAGACATCTGCATTGTCAGTGCCTTTCAGTTTAAACTGTAAATATTTACTGTACAGTGTCCGTTATATCGGAAAGCCTCTGAGGGCGAGACACAGCAGCTGAGGGCCACACACAGCAGCTGAGGGCCACACACAGCAGCTGAGGGCCACACACAGCAGCTGAGGGCCACACACAGCAGCTGAGGGCCACACACAGCAGCTGAGGGCCACACACAGCAGCTGAGGGCCACACACAGCAGCTGAGGGCCACACACACAGCAGCTGAGGGCCACACACACAGCAGCTGAGGGCCACACACAGCAGCTGAGGGCCACACACAGCAGCTGAGGGCCACACACAGCAGCTGAGGGCCACACACACAGCAGCTGAGGGCCACACACAGCAGCTGAGGGCCACACACACAGCAGCTGAGGGCCACACACAGCAGCTGAGGGCCACACACAGCAGCTGAGGGCCACACACAGCACTTGAGGGCCACACACAGCAGCTGAGGGCCACACACAGCAGCTGAGGGCCACACACAGCACTTGAGGGCCACACACAGCAGCTGACGGCCACACACAGCAGCTGAGGGCCACACACAGCAGCTGATGGCCACACACACAGCAGCTGAGGGCCACACACAGCACTTGAGGGCCACACACAGCAGCTGAGGGCCACACACAGCAGCTGAGGGCCACACACAGCAGCTGAGGGCCACACACACAGCAGCTGAGGGCCACACACAGCAGCTGAGGGCCACACACAGCAGCTGAGGGCCACATACAGCAGCTGAGGGTCATACACAGCACTTGAGGGCCACACACAGCAGCTGAGGGCCACACACAGCACTTGAGGGCCACACACACAGCAGCTGAGGGCCACACACACAGCAGCTGAGGGCCACACACACAGCAGCCGAGGGCCACACACAGGACTTGAGGGCCACACACAGCAGCTGAGGGCCACACACAGCAGCTGAGGGCCACACACAGCAGCTGAGGGCCACACACACAGCAGCTGAGGGCCACACACAGGACTTGAGGGCCACACACAGCACTTGAGGGCCACACACAGCACTTGAGGGCCACACACAGCACTTGAGGGCCACACACAGCAGCTGAGGGCCACACACAGCAGCTGATGTCCACATACAGCAGCTGAGGGCCACACACAGGACTTGAGGGCCACACACAGCAGCTGAGGGCCACACACAGCAGCTGAGGGCCACACACAGGACTTGAGGGCCACACACAGGATTTGAGGGCCACACACAGCAGCTGAGGGTCACACACAGCAGCTGAAGGCCACACACAGCAGCTGAGGGCCACACACAGCAGCTGAGGGCCACACACAGCAGCTGAGGGCCACACACAGCAGCTGAGGGCCACACACAGCAGCTGAGGGCCACACACACAGCAGCTGAGGGCCACACACACAGCAGCTGAGGGCCACACACAGCAGCTGAGGGCCACACACAGCACTTGAGGGCCACACACAGGAGGGCCACACACAAGCAGCACTTGAGGGCCACACACAGCAGCTGAGGGCCACACACAGCAGCTGAGGGCCACACACAGCACTTGAGGGCCACACACATCACTTGAGGGCCACACACAGCAGCAGAGGGCCACACACACAGCAGCAGAGGGCCACACACACAGCAGCAGAGGGTCACACACACAGCAGCTGAGGGCCACACACACAGCAGCTGAGGGCCACACACAGCAGCTGAGGGCCACACACAGCAGCTGAGGGCCACACACACAGCAGCTGAGGACCACACACAGCAGCTGAAGGCCACACACAGCAGCTGAAGGCCACACACAGCACTTGAGGGCCACACACACCAGCTGAGGGCCACACACAGCAGCTGAAGGCCACACACAGCAGCTGAAGGCCACACACAGCAGCTGAGGGCCACACACAGCAGCTGAAGGCCACACACAGCAGCTGAGGGCCACACACAGCAGCTGAAGGCCACACACAGCAGCTGAAGGCCACACACAGCACTTGAGGGCCACACTCAGCAGCTGAGGGCCACACACAGCACTTGAGGGCCACACACAGCAGCAGAGGGCCACACACACAACAGCTGAGGGCGACACACAGCAGCTGAGGACCACACACAGCAGCTGAAGGCCACACACAGCAGCTGAGGGCCACACACAGCAGCTGAAGGCCACACACAGCAGCTGAGGGCCACACACAGCACTTGAGGGCCACACACAGCACTTGAGGGACACACACAGCACTTGAGGGCCACACACAGCAGCTGAGGGCCACACACAGCAGCTGAGGGCCACACACACAGCAGCTGAGGGCCACACACACAGCAGCTGAGGGCTACACAGTGTGAGGTTCTATCTAGCATCCCAACATGAAATTTGAGCATCCGGATGCCTTCAATAAGAACGGTATCCAAAACTAAGAATGTAAATAAAATTAACTCGAGCACAGCAGACATTGACAGCGAAATTAACGTGCTCATGTACTCGGCCCCGGGTCCTGAGTCTTGGAATTCCATGTCTATTAAGGACTGTAAAGAACCAGTAGCACGAGCGCTCAGTGGAGCAGCCCATTCTCCTAAGGGTTTCCCAACGTCAAGAAAACAGTCAATTTAAAGTAGTCTCTCCTAACCTACCAGAGGACCCAAAACAGAAAACGGGACAGTACGTCACTTTCGCCAGCCGCTTCCATTTTCTAGTACGATGATTTTTGGCCTTATGTGACGCATACGAGCGAAAAGCGACGTTTTTTTTGAAGGACAGGTTGTAGGAGGACAGGTTGTAGGAGGACAGGTTGCAGGTTGCAGGAGGACAGGTTGTAGGAGGACAGGTTGTAGGAGGACAGGTTGTAGGAGGACAGGTTGTAGGAGAACAGGTTGCAGGAGGACAGGTTGTAGGAGGACAGGTTGCAAGAGGACAGGTTGTAGGAGGGCAGGTTGTAGGAGGACAGGTTGTAGGAGGACAGGTTGCAGGAGGACAGGTTGTAGGAGGGCAGGTTGCAGGAGGACAGGTTGTAGGAGAACAGGTTGTAGGAGGACAAGTTGTAGGAGGACAGGTTGTAGGAGGACAAGTTGTAGGAGGACAGGTTGTAGGAGGACAGGTTGTAGGAGGACAAGTTGTAGGAGGACAGGTTGTAGGAGGACAGGTTGTAGGAAGACAGGTTGTAGGAGGACAGGTTATAGGAGGACAAGTTGTAGGAGGACAGGTTGTAGGAGGACAGGTTGTAGGAGGACAGGTTGTAGGAAGACAGGTTGTAGGAGGACAGGCTGTAGAAGGACAGGTTGTAGGAAGACAGGTTGTAGGAGGACAGGTTGTAGGAGGACAGGTTACAGGAAGACAGGTTGTAGGAGGACAGGTTGCAGGAGGACAGGTTGCAGGAGGACAGGTTGCAGGAAGACAGGTTGTAGGAGGACAGGTTGTAGGAGGACAGGTTGCAGGAGGACAGGTTGCAGGAGGACAGGTTGTGGGAGGACAGGTTGTGAGAGGACAGGTTGCTGGAGGACAGGTTGTAGGAGGACAAGTTGCAGGAGGACAGGTTGCAGGAGGACAGGTTGTGGGAGGACAGGTTGTGAGAGGACAGGTTGCTGGAGGACAGGTTGTAGGAGGACAAGTTGCAGGAGGACAGGTTGCAGGAGGACAGGTTGCAGGAGGACAGGTTGTGGGAGGACAGGTTGTAGGAGGACAGGTTGCAGGAGGACAGGTTGCAGGAGGACAGGTTGCAGGAGGACAGGTTGTAGGAGGACAGGTTGCAGGAGGACAGGTTATAGGAGGACAGGTTATAGGAGGACAGGTTGTAGGAGGACAGGTTGTAGGAGGACAGGTTGTAGGACAGGTTGTAGGAGGACAGGTTGGAGGAGGACAGGTTGCAGGAGGACAGGTTATAGGAGGACAGGTTATAGGAGGACAGGTTGTAGGAGGACAGGTTGTAGGAGGACAGGTTGCAGGAAGACAGGTTGCAGGAAGACAGGTTGTAGGAGGACAGGTTGTAGGAGGACAGGCTGTAGAAGGACAGGTTGCAGGAGGACAGGTTGTGAGAGGACAGGTTGCTGGAGGACAGGTTGCTGGAGGACAGGTTGTGAGAGGACAGGTTGCTGGAGGACAGGTTGTGAGAGGACAGGTTGCAGGAGGACAGGTTGTGAGAGGACAGGTTGCTGGAGGACAGGTTGTGAGAGGACAGGTTGTGGGAGGACAGGTTGTGAGAGGACAGGTTGCTGGAGGACAGGTTGTGGGAGGACAGGTTGTGGGAGGACAGGTTGTGGGAGGACAGGTTGTAGGAGGACAGGTTGTAGGAGGACAGGTTGCAGGAGGACAGGTTGCAGGAGGACAGGTTGCAGGAGGACAGGTTGCAGGAGGACAGGTTGCAGGAGGACAGGTTGTAGGAGGACAGGTTGTAGGAGGACAGGTTGCAGGAGGACAGGTTGTAGGAGGACAGGTTGTAGGAGAACAGGTTGTAGGAGGACAGGTTGCAGGAGGACAGGTTGTAGGAGGACAGGTTGCATTAGGACAAGTTGTAGGAGGACAGGTTGTAGGAGGACAGGTTGCAAGAGGACAGGTTGCAGGAGGACAGGTTGTAGAAGGACAGGTTGTAGGAGGACAGGTTGTAGGAGGACAGGTTGCAAGAGGACAGGTTGCAGGAGGACAGGTTGTAGAAGGACAGGTTGTAGGAGAACAGGTTGTAGGAGGACAGGTTGCAAGAGGACAGGTTCCAGGAGGACAGGTTGTAGAAGGACAGGTTGTAGGAGGACAGGTTGCAGGAGGACAGGTTGCAGGACGACAGGTTGTAGGAGGACAGGTTGTAGGAGGACAGGTTGTAGGAGGACAGGTTGTAGGACAGGTTGCAAGAGGACAGGTTGTAGGAGGACAGGTTGTAGGACAGGTTGCAGGAGGACAGGTTGCAGGAGGACAGGTTGCAGGAGGACAGGTTGTAGGAGGACAGGTTGTAGGAGGACAGGTTGCAGGAGGACAGGTTGCAGGAGGACAGGTTGTAGGAGGACAGGTTGTAGGAGGACAGGTTGCAGGAGGACAGGTTGCAGGAGGACAGGTTGTAGAAGGACAAGTTGCAGTGTGGTATTGAGTAAGTGCTCGGATTCAGGGCATATACCAGAAGCGCATTAATTAACAATTACGCTACACAAGGGAGGTAGTAAAGCATAGCTTAAAACTATAGAGACCAGTTACACTAACACCACGCGTAATTAACCTTTTTGACCGAGTGATTTGGAATCAAATCTCTAGTTTTACGGAGACCTGCCGATATGGTAGGAAGTGCAGACCCCGGTGAAGAGTAGAGGTGCCATAGGCACAGTTATCTTGAGGTTATATCTTGAGATGATTTCGGGGCTTTTTTTTTTTTAGTGTCCCCGCGGCCCGGTCCTCGACCAGGCCTCCACCCCCAGGAAGCAGCCCGTGACAGCTGACAAACTCCCAGGTACCTATTTTACTGCTAGGTAAGAGGGGCATTCAGGGTGAAAGAAATTTTGCCCATTTGTTTCTGCCTCGTGCGGGAATCGAACCCGCGCCACAGAATTACGAGTCCTGCGCGCTATCCACCAGGCTACGAGGCCCTCTGGGAATCATAAACTCCGGTATGGACATCAGAGGACCAGGACCACCAACCATGAGTGTAATATTACCGGTACAAAAGTAGATGTATTAAAAATAACTAGAATCGACGGTTCTACAAGAACAGCCGGATGAACGAGTTGTAACGGATTGTGTGGGCCTGCTGGCCGCTCCAAAAAACAGCCTGTTGGACCAAGTTATCTCAAGTCTATCTCCAGGCCAGACTTGGGAAGTAGATGAACTCGCAGAACTCAAACCCCACTCCAGGTTTACTCCAAGTCTACAGGGCCATACAGGGCCACCGAGGGCCACAGAGGGCCACAGAGGGCCACTCCGCACCAGGAGGTCATCTTGGCCCTACGCATAACGAATGTGACCCAACCCACCACCCCCATATTGCAATGGGATTGAACAGCATCTCACGATTCTGGATCGCGTTTTTTAGCACAGTTTCCCCTTACGGTCCAGGGATTTGGCTGTATTTATGTCCATGTTCTACCATACACTATTGTAATATATTTCTAGCTTTAAACCACAATTTAATGCTGATCATTTCCGTGGTGTTTTCCGCAGTTTTGCGTGCATGCTGACAAACGCAAGATGCTGCAGGAGCTGACGACGTCGCTGCACGTGCGTCCCAACAAGGCGCACGTGCTGTGGGAGCTGGCGCACTGCATCTCCTCCGCTGTCAGCGCTGACGGCTACAACCTCTATCTGGCAGACAACGTCTCCGGCACACTGCACCACTACGTCGAGGCTAAGGATGGGTTAGTGGTGGCCTGCGGTTGTGGTGGTGGGGGGGGGGGAGGGGACTTGTGGGTTGTAATGGGGGTACACTACTGGGGTTGTGATAGGCTTGTGAAAAGAAGGGACGAATAGGGGAAATGGTGAGTCAGGAGAAGTGGGTAAAATTAGACTGAGGGGTAAGGGACCGTGTTAAGGGAGTGGGGAATCCATGGAACCCTCAAGGGAAATTAACAATTACATACCTCGTTTAACGCTTGGAGCACGTGCCTCGAACCAGGGACCGTTTTCCCAGTCAGTGTTGAAAAGGGTCGACACTGTTCTCCTGCAGAGCTGCGCTCTTGACACTATTTACCTAGACCAACATATTAAGAGGTCATCGGGGTTACTGAAACGACTATACAAATAAACAACAATATCTAAAAACACATAATAGACATATAACAAGCCATTTTATCTTTAGGTTATCTTTAGATGATTTCGGGGCTTTAGTGTCCCCGCGGCCCGGTCCTCGACCAGGCCTCCACCCCCAGGAAGCAGCCCGTGACAGCTGACTAACACCCAGGTACCTATTTTACTGCTAGGTAACAGGGGCATAGGGTGAAAGAAACTCTGCCCATTGTTTCTCGCCGGCGCCTGGGATCGAACCCAGGACCACAGGATCACAAGATCAGTGTGCTGTCCGCTCGGCCGACCGGCTCCGTCCCTCGACCGGCCATGGTTTAATAATGGCATGAAACAAAAAAGGAGAATTAGGAGAGAGTGGAGGAAATACAGAGGTCAAATTTCAGTGGAAAATATGAATAGATGCAACAACCCTTGGGAGAAACCTATATAATATATACATATAAGAACACCAGAAAGTAATTACGAGAACAATATTGCTAAAAAAATTAAAGTCAAAACACAGCCAAAGCTACTACATAGCCTTATGACAAAGAAAATGACAGTGAACGACCAAGAGCAGGATTCAACAAGTACTTCCGAACCTGTACATCTTTTTCCAATCTTTGGCGGCTTTGTTTACAATTATTATATAGTTTATGAGTATAGAAACTTTCCAATCAACTGTTGTTATAGTTATAAACAGCCTCCTGGTGCTTCGAAGCTCCTGAACTGTTTAATAATTGTAAACAAAGCCGCCAAAGATTGTAAAAAGATGTACAGGTTCGTAAGTAGTTGGGTCACTGCTTGTTGAGTCCTGCACCTGGTCATTCTTTGTGTGTTAGTGTGTCATTCTCTGACACAACTGTCATTCTGTCATTCAACTGACACATTCTGTCATTCTCTGTGTCTTAGTGTGGAAATGTAATGACGTGTTGTGACAGCTGAGACGAGGATGCTCGTTCGAAGCCTGAATTCGACTTATCTCAGGGATAAGTACTAGGATGCTCGTTACTTATCCCTGAGAACTGGAATTATTAGGGATAAGTAATGTGGAATTAACAGGAACATTTGTGTGCAGTAGAACATCTAGAAATTTTGGAACAAATGTATTACTCTTAATATATTTGCTTCTGAAAATTCGTTGCAAACTTCTGAACACTAGAAAAGGTTTAGAAGTTTGCGACGAGGCTCGTCCTAGAATGTGAGGTGTAGGACTGCACGTGAGGTGAGGTGAATGAGGTGATATAAGACATGTTGTAGCGGTTTGATATGACGGATCAATTGACAGGAGGACTACTTGGCCCAGGGCGGACTCGCACGGGTCGTCGTGGAGCTGCGACATTGGTGTCGGGTCGTGGCTGTGCGCCTGGGTGGCCAGCACTAGGCATGTGGTCCGCGTCAGCGCCCCCTCCAGCGACCCGAGGTTCCCCAAGGGCTCCCCATTCGCCGAGGTGAGTTATAATGATCTCTTATCTAAGCCACTGTCATGTTCTCCATAGTCACCTCTGTCCGGGTCAGTTTTCTGTAGTATGCCTTGATTTTTCTTTATCTATGTAGCTCCGTTTTCTTTATTCAAATTATAACGCTATATTGTTACTAGGCTAACCCATGTTCAAAGGCCAGATTCACGAAAGCACTTACGAACGTGTACATCTTTTCTCAATCTTTGACGGCTTTGGTTACATTTATTAAACAGTTTACAAGCTTGAGAACTTGCCAATCAACTGTTGTTGTTGTTATAAACAGCCTCCTGGTGCTTCGGAGCTCATTAATTGTTTAATAATTGTAAACAAAGCCGCCAAAGATTGAGAAAAGATGTACAGGTTCGTAAGTGCTTGCGTAACTGCTTTCGTGAATCTGGCCCCCAAGGCTTACAAAAACTCATGATTTTACCAGAGAAAGAAATTAAGTACCGACTCAAGTTCTAAGGGAAATGGAGAATATCAATTACATTAAGTTTTAATTATAAAATATTACAATAAATCTTTAAGAGAGGAAGTCTGTTCAAGTTTGATAAATAAATTAACAGGTAATTGATAAGTGACTAGTTAAGCAGAACGACGCCCCGACCCACAGGAGCTGATGGGTGTCTGACGAGCTCTGACGTCACACATCACAAACAATTGGGAGACTAAATTGGTCTCCAATTATTCAGTACAGATTATATAATTAGAATAAATTAACTGTTTTCTTATAGAACTAATTAAACTAATATTGTTAACTCAAATTTATATAAAAAATAGAGGGTTTGTGCGCCGTTAACTAAATAATACAAAAGATTCTCTGTACCTTTGGAGGTGGGAGGGAGGAGCTCAAGCGGCTGTTGGTGTTGTCATAGAGTCAGCTACTGGGAGCTAAAAATTCCAAGTAGCACGGGCTATGGTGAGCCCGTGATGGACTTACCTGGCACAGGAGCGGGGCAAGTAGCACGGGCTATGGTGAGCCCGTGATGGACTTACCTGGCACAGAAGCGGGGCAAGTAGCACGGGTTATGGTGAGCCCGTGATGGACTTACCTGGCACAGGAGCTGGGCTGTAACTTTGGCCACTGGCACACTAACCCAACGCTCCAGTGGACGGCATTACACCATGATTATAAAGCGAGCTTCTAGCGTACAGCTGTTCAACAACGTCCATGACCCAAACTATGGGTACTCCGACCCACGCTTGAGACGCTAAGTGAACCTTTGATCTTGTTTTGGGTATATTGTTGTTTAAGATTAAGCAATTCGGAACCGAACGTTGCAAGTAGCACGGCCTATGGCGATCCCGTAGTGGACTTACCTGGTACAGGAGCGGGGCTGTGTGCTATTAACGAGCACTTGGCTATTGTATATGAGGACTGACTGAGGGATAGTAATATACCCTAGAAACAAGCTTGAAACTAAATGCGAAACGATGTGTTTTTCGGGTTTAAATTAGAACGTCAGAATTCCCCATAACCTTCTACGTTTTTTTTTTTCATAAAACTGGTAATTATTTGTTTTAATTATGTCATGCATTTCGCTTTAATTAGGAACCATTTCGCTTTAATTAGGAACAAATAACGAAAGTCGTGTTTATAATAACATAATCTCCGTTCGGGCATTCACAGGCTACAACTTGATTGAGGATAAGCACCTTTAGTATAAATGTTGTATTAAAGTGCGGCGAGTCTGTAGACACAACATTGTAACTGGCACAGCCCGAAGCTGTAAACTGACATTTAGGAATTACAGTAGTCTACTATCAGATGCCTTACTGCTTGCCAATCGAAATCTTAAGTCAGATATTTTGAAGTTAGTTCTGCGAACTCTAAGTTCTGTGAAATTCGAACTATGTCCGAAGATTACACGTCCCAGGGATGCACAGATATTACTGAAACGATATCCGTTTTTTTTTTACTACTGCCACCATTATTCCAATGGCACGAATTTCTGGTTATCCTGACACACAGATTAGGTTGGATTTTATCCTTTTTGTCTCTAAAAATGTGTATATTGGTTGAAAGTTTGATGAGGACAGAAGTACTTGTATTTTTTGTCATTCACGACAGCTGAATATCCAAGCTTGAAGATAACCTCTTCAGCCACAGAGTCCTCAGCGGCTCCTGTCTCTCTGTGGTTGCCAGAGACGCAAGACCTCTTGTTTCAGTTGACTCAACAGCAATATCTCCTTTGGACAAACAATATTGGCCAACATCTGGCAATATTGATATGGGAATGTTGCAATAATTTGCTTTAAAATACACTGTTACTGCGTAGTCACAAGACTTGATAGCAGTTATAACTGATATCGTTATACTGGTGTTTGTGGACCAAACCACACACTAGAAGGTGAAGGGATGACGACGTTTCGGTCGACTTAGAATGGTCCAGGACGGACCAAAACGTCGTTCCTTCACCTTCTAGCGTGTGGTTTGGTCGACATACTTCAGCCACGTTGTGACATCATCTGGTGTTTGTTATCGTTTAGGAGCAGGAGGGTCACCACGCCCTGACGATGGTGGTGGTGCAGAGCGACGGGGAGCTGGCGGCCGTGCTCGAACTCTACCGCAAGAAGGCCGAAGAGAATTTCCACGAAGAGGACGAGGAGATCGTCAACTCGTACCTGGTGTGGGGCGGGATCGCCTTGCACTACGCTGACCTCTACCACAGCATGGTCAAACAACGCAAGCTGAACGAGTTCATCCTCTCCGTCGTCAAGTGAGTACGGAGGTGTGGCAGCTCTTTGGGTTCCGTTTATAATGACCGTTTTTATTCAAATTCAAATTTTAGGTAAAAATTCAAATTTCTATTCAGGTAATGATGAGTTACAATTATAATGTTGGAATTATAGAGCTAGTACATACAATACCTAAAGCCACTAATGCGCACAGCGTTTTGGACAAACTCGAAGTTTGTTCTTGGTTTTCGAAGTTCTTATTCATCGTAATTTGTATTTAATTTTTCGTTATCTTATTCCTTCGTGAGGTGTTTACATCAGTGCTTTTTACACTTGTTGAAAAGGTGGAGTGGGTGGGATGGTACTCAGATTGTACTCAGGTGGTAATCAGATGTGCTCACCTAATTGTGTGTCATGTTGTTGTTCCCTTCTTCCCCGTGCCACTACGGGGCTGTTGTTTTAGTTTTGGCTACTCAGAACGAAATGTCTATGTAGCACGGGCTATGGTGAGCCCGGTGGTTCAGTGGTACAATTCTCGCCTGGCGCTACGGGGTGGTTATTGTTATAGATTCAGCTGCTGGAAACAAAAGTTCCAAGTAGCACGGGCTATGGCGAGCCCGTAGTGAACTTACCTGGCACAGGAGTGGGGCTGTGACTGTCCACCAAGGTGGGTGTAGAGTTGTTACAAAGCATCAGAGCACCCGTTCCCCCCAACCACGGCATGGGGAGAGGTGGGTACCCCCTTAAGCACACACATTTCCCCACACAGCAATTGCGGGATCACCATAGCCCGTGCTACATTGACATTCCGTTCTGAGTAGCTAAATCTAAAGCAACAACAACCCCACACAGAAATCACAATAGCTTGATGCATCAAATGAGCAATTCTTTTACCATGTCGTAGCTCAGTCGATTAAGACAGCGTCTGGGATCCTCTCGGACGTTGGTTCGAACCCTCATCACGGCTCTTGTGGATTTGTACACACATTTCCCTAACAACACAAAGTAAAATATATAAAATAATGGTTAGTTGACATATCGCAAGAGTTAAGAGAATGTAATGGATAATCTTTGTGTATTTTTGTATGGGAGGATATTCTAGATGCGGTCTAACTAGAGCCTTGTACAAGTATTGTTGAATGTTTGTGCTCAGGCTACACAATCTCCTCGGTATTCTTAACTGTTTTTTGCTTTTTATATTTTGTGAATTTTGAGTCCTGGGGCCAGATTCACGAAGCAGTTACGCAAGCACTTACGAACCTGTCTATCTTAATCTTTGGCGGCTTTGTTTACAACTATTAAACATTTAATGAGCTCCGAAGCACCAGGAGGCTGTTTATAACAATAACAACAGTTGATTGGCAAGTTTTCATGCTTGTAAACTGTTTAATAAATGTATCCAAAGTCGTCAAAGATTGAGGAAAGATGTACACGTTCGTAAGTGCTTGCGTAACTGCTTCGTGAATCTGGCCCCTGGTCTGTTAATCTTGAGTCCCAGTGTTCTACCCACATCTGTGTACTAGACAGGACGCTCGTCAAGAATAATGGGGTATGAGTTTCTTTTTTGCCATGTGTATTATCTAGAACGTTTTTGCATGTACTTTTTTTTTCCAATGATTTTCGAAGTTGTTTATCAATTCAACTGGTGCCTTAGTTTTGGTGGTCATTAGCGGCTTTGATGGTCCTGGTTGGCATATTATTTGAATGACATTATCAGCGATGGGTTGGTGGGGATCCTGCTGTTTGTGGGAGAGGGAGCAGGTAGATAGGAAGGAAAGGAGGGGGTCGGAGGGAGGGGTAAGAGGGGGGTGAAGCCAGGGATGGTGGCCTTAGGGGGAGCCAGGGGGGGGGGGGGAGGGAGGTAATTTAATTGGTTATGCCTAACGAGCTCACACGAACACCACCACCATCACCACAACCACCACCACCACACTACACACCTCGTCCCCATCACCACTACGCACTTCTAAGTGTCACACAAAACACTTGGAAATGATAAATTAGAGTACATCATTTTTGACATACACATCACCAGAGATATCCCTAAAACAACGAAATAATCAACCCATTGTTATGCAGTCCCAATACATTGGTGGAACCAGGGTATTGATCTTGGGAACTTAAATCTTGCAGGCATCCAAGAATCATGTCTTGGCCAAGTTGTCTAGTCGTCCTTTTGATACAATGCAACACATGTGTTTTCCAAGTGTGTTTCACAATGCACTTGGTTCCATATCATTGAAGATTTTTATTGGTTCGTGTCTGGCGTACTTGCAGGTCCATCTTCCAGGACATGGTGAGTATGGACACTCTCATAATGAAGGTGATGAACTTCGCTCAGAAGCTGGTGAGCGCGGACAGGGCGTCCCTGTTCCTCGTCGACGCCAAGAACCGGCAGCTCTACGCCAGGATCTTCGACATGGGCAGCGAGTTCGAGGAAGACAATCCTCCACAGTCCTTCAAGGAGATCAGGTAAGAGGGTGACATCACTGCTGGCACCGGGATTCTTAAAGCATACGAAGGCTGTACGTTTTTCAGGCGATGAGTCACAATAACGTGGCTGAAGAATGTTGACCAGACCACACACTAGAAGGTGAAGGGACGACGACGTTTCAGTCCGTCCTGGACCATTCTCAAGTCGATTGTGAGAACGGTCCAGGACGGACCGAAACGTCGTCGTCCCTTCACCTCCTAGTGTGTGGTCTGGTCAACTGTACATTTTTCTTCAATCGTAGCCACTTTTCTTTACATCTATTAAACAATTTACAAGTTCCAGAGCGCTACCAGTTTGTCCATACAAATAACAACCTTCGGTTGTAAATTTTCAGAGCACATATAATGTGTGATAAATATAATCTAAGCCGTCATTGCTGAAGAAAGATGTACAAGCTTCGTAAGTTAGGACTTAAAAGTGTTTGCCGAGTCCTTGGATTAGATCAGGTATGAAGGTGTAGTGAAGGGGGTGCTGGATAAAGCCAGGTGTGTGAAGAGGAAAGGGTGGAGACGATTGCAAGTTCGAAGGTAATAGGAGACGAAGGTAAAGAAGGGGCTTAGGGTGGAGTAGGTAGGTGCTGACAAGGGTGAGATGGATAATGAAAAGGAACATGAGGAACGTTCCTCGAGGAACGGAGAGGAAGAGAGCGCCAGGCAGTAGAGCAGGCAGCGCCCTCACTCTCACGTGTGTAACATAATACCAGTGTTCGCAGGCAGCTAATCATCTCACTTTCTGCCTTCTAAGGAGATACGGTGCACTTTCTGCCTCCTCTTTCTGCCCCCTCCTCTTTCTTTCTCTCTCTTTGTCGCAAAGTTTTAACGAGAACTTGCTCCTCACATTTGTTAACTTGGGAATTGTTATCCAGACCCTCCCTAGCATGCCTTCACTCCCCTGCTCCCCACCCCTCTATACTCCCCATCTCCCCGCCCACCCATGTACACCCGCACCCACCTATGTACAGCCTCACCCACCCATGTACACCCTTACCCGCCCATGTACACCCTCACCCGCCCATGTACACCCTCACCCGCCCATGTACACCCTCACCCGCCCATGTACACCCTCACCCACCCATGTACACACTCCCCACCCATGTACACCCACACCCCCCCATGTACACCCTTACCCCCCCCCATGTACACCCACACCCACCCATGTACACCCACACCCACCCATGTACACCCACCTATGTACACCCTCACCCACCCATGTACACACCCACCTATGTACACCCTTACCCCCCCCCATGTACACCCTCACCCACCCATGTACACCCTCACCCACCCATGTGCACCCTCACCCACCCATGTGCACCCTCACCCACCCATGTGCACCCTCACCCACCCATGTACACCCTTACCCACCCATGTACACCCTTACCCCCCCATGTACACCCTCACCCACCCATGTACACCCTCACCCACCCATGTGCACCCTCACCCACCCATGTGCACCCTCACCCACCCATGTGCACCCTCACCCACCCATGTGCACCCTCACCCATCCATGTGCACCCTCACCCATCCATGTGCACCCTCACCCATCCATGTGCACCCTCACCCATCCATGTGCACCCTCACCCATCCATGTGCACCCTCACCCATCCATGTACACCCTCACCCGCCCATGTACACCCTCACCCGCCCATGTACAGCCTCACCCATCCATGTACACCCTCACCCGCCCATGTACACCCTCACCCGCCCATGTACAGCCTCACCCACCCATGTACACCCTCACCCACCCATGTACACCCTCACCCACCCATGGACACCCACCTACCACCTTAATCAGCCTCCCGGCAATATGTCAACAGAGCCCCTTAACTTAGGCTAATCTTCCGTGAGAGGTCGCGCGTCCCCTTATTCCCCTCTTCATAAAAATGGTCAACGTCCTAACTCATCACGATGCGTTTCACAACGCTTCGTCTGGCGGAGGGCAACGCCGTTCACGCCGATGGGTATTGACTCGGTGAAGGACGGAAATAGTGAGAAATGTCCCAAGATATATTAATAAGACGTTGTCTTTTGGTCTGTATTGTGTTATTGTCTTTGTTCCAGTGAAGTTATTTTGAGGGTTTCATTGTTATCTGGTTTACTCGCTCACTTACTCACTCACTCACTCGTCTTTGTTTTGGGTGGGATTCGTTCCTAGTCAATCCTCCGCGGGTTCTATCACTGGGCAAAAGATGTGTGTGTGTGTGTGTGTGTGTGTGTGTGTGTGTGTGTGTGTGTGTGTGTATCTAACTACTCAGCCAGCTGCTGACGTCCCCAGGATTCAACCCCACCACAGCTCTCTTAACACCCAGGTACCTATTTACAGCTAGGTGAACAGAGGCATGAGGTCGGGAAACACACTGCCAATATTTCTGTCCTCGTCAGGATTCGAACCCTACGACATGAGACTGTAAATCGTGTTTGTTAAATGTTTGACCACGAACTTCACCCTGTGCCTCACTTTCCCCCATAACTTCCCCCTCTCCTCATGTCCCCCCTAACTTCCCCCTCCCCTCATGTCCCCCCTAACTTCCCCTCCCCTCACGTCCCCCCTAACTTCCCCCTCCCCTCATGTCCCCCCATAACTTCCCCCTCACCTCATGTCCCCCCTAACTTCCCCCTCCCCTCATGTCCCCCCTAACTTCCCCCTCCCCTCACGTCCCCCCTAACTTCCCCCTCCCCTCATGTCCCCCCATAACTTCCCCCTCACCTCATGTCCCCCCTAACTTCCCCCTCCCCTCATGTCCCCCCTAACTTCCCCCTCCCCTCATGTCCCCCCTAACTTCCCCCTCCCCTCACGTCCCCCCCTAACTTCCCCCTCCCCTCATGTCCCCCCCATAACTTCCCCTCACCTCATGTCCCCCCTAACTTCCCCCTCCCCTCATGTCCCCCCTAACTTCCCCCTCCCCTCATGTCCCCCCTAACTTCCCCCTCCCCTCATGTCCCCCCTAACTTCCCCCTCCCCTCACGTCCCCCCCTAACTTCCCCCTCCCCTCACGTCCCCCCCCATAACTTCCCCCTCCCCTCATGTCCCCCCTAACTTCCCCCTCACCTCATGTCCCCCTAACTTCCCCCTCACCTCATGTCCCCCCTAACTTCCCCCTCACCTCATGTCCCCCCATAACTTCCCCCTCACCTCATGTCCCCCATAACTTCCCCCTCACCTCATGTCCCCCCATAACTTCCCCCTCATGTCCCTCATGTCCCCCCATAACTTCCCCCTCACCTCATGTCCCCCCATAACTTCCCCCTCACCTCATGTCCCCCCATAACATGTTCCCCCTCACCTCATGTCCCCCCATAACTTCCCCCTCACCTCATGTCCCCCCACCTCAATGTCCCCCCATAACTTCCCCCTCACCTCATGTCCCCCCATAACTTCCCCCTCACCTCATGTCCCCCCATAACTTCCCCCTCACCTCATGTCCCCCCATAACTTCCCCCTCACCTCATGTCCCCCCATAACTTCCCCCTCACCTCATGTCCCCCCATAACTTCCCCCTCACCTCATGTCCCCCCATAACTTCCCCCTCACCTCATGTCCCCCCATAACTTCCCCCTCACCTCATGTCCCCCCATAACTTCCCCCTCACCTCATGTCCCCCCATAACTTCCCCCTCACCTCATGTCCCCCCATAACTTCCCCCTCACCTCATGTCCCCCCATAACTTCCCCCTCACCTCATGTCCCCCCATAACTTCCCCCTCACCTCATGTCCCCCCATAACTTCCCCCTCACCTCATGTCCCCCCATAACTTCCCCCTCACCTCATGTCCCCCCATAACTTCCCCCTCACCTCATGTCCCCCCATAACTTCCCCCTCACCTCATGTCCCCCCATAACTTCCCCCTCACCTCATGTCCCCCCATAACTTCCCCCTCACCTCATGTCCCCCCATAACTTCCCCCTCACCTCATGTCCCCCCATAACTTCCCCCTCACCTCATGTCCCCCCATAACTTCCCCCTCACCTCATGTCCCCCCATAACTTCCCCCTCACCTCATGTCCCCCCATAACTTCCCCCTCACCTCATGTCCCCCCATAACTTCCCCCTCACCTCATGTCCCCCCATAACTTCCCCCTCACCTCATGTCCCCCCATAACTTCCCCCTCACCTCATGTCCCCCCATAACTTCCCCCTCACCTCATGTCCCCCCATAACTTCCCCCTCACCTCATGTCCCCCCATAACTTCCCCCTCACCTCATGTCCCCCCATAACTTCCCCCTCACCTCATGTCCCCCCATAACTTCCCCCTCACCTCATGTCCCCCCATAACTTCCCCCTCACCTCATGTCCCCCCATAACTTCCCCCTCACCTCACGTCCCCCCATAACTTCCCCCTCACCTCACGTCCCCCCATAACTTCCCCCTCACCTCACGTCCCCCCATAACTTCCCCCTCACCTCACGTCCCCCCATAACTTCCCCCTCACCTCACGTCCCCCCATAACTTCCCCCTCACCTCACGTCCCCCCATAACTTCCCCCTCACCTCACGTCCCCCCATAACTTCCCCCTCACCTCACGTCCCCCCATAACTTCCCCCTCACCTCACGTCCCCCCATAACTTCCCCCTCACCTCACGTCCCCCCATAACTTCCCCCTCACCTCACGTCCCCCCTAACTTCCCCTTCTCCTCACGTCCCCCCTAACTTCCCCTTCTCCTCACGTCCCCCCTAACTTCCCCCTCCCCTCATGTCCCCCCATAACTTCCCCCTCCCCTCACGTCCCCCTAACTTCCCCCTCACCTCACGTCCCCCCTAACTTCCCCTTCTCCTCACGTCCCCCCTAACTTCCCCCTCACCTCATGTCCCCCCATAACTTCCCCCTCCCCTCATGTCCCCCTAACTTCCCCCTCACCTCACGTCCCCCCTAACTTCCCCCTCACCTCACGTCCCCCCTAACTTCCCCCTCACCTCACGTCCCCCCTAACTTCCCCTTCTCCTCACGTCCCCCCTAACTTCCCCCTCCCCTCAGATGGATGCAGACCTTGTATTCACTAGTAATGAGGAAGGAGTTACTTGAATTAGTCTGGTGTAGTGCTGAGAAGTTTCCTCAAGTTGAGGAGATTCTCCCCTCACCGTGGATGAGGGGAGATCAGCTGAGATGGTTGGTGAGGGGAATGGTGAAATTCACAGAAGAGGGAATAAGGGGAGTGTTTCTTGGTGGAAGATCTCCTGGCGGGAGAATAAGGAAGAAAGAGGAGAAACAATATTGTGCAGAAATGAGAACGTAAAAAAAGAGAAATGGAGATGAAAGTGAGGAATGGGTGATAGTGAAGGTGATGGGGGAAGATGGTGTGTTACTCATATACGACCCTCTTCCCTCCCCTTACCCCTTCCCATGGTCAACAGTCGCCTCTAATCCATCGCTTCTTATAGAAAACACCGACCTCACCTAACCTTCTTGGTATGTTAAGATAAGCATCTTATTGCTTCTTAATTACAATTATTACTTAACCTATACCGTTGATAGGTTAAGTAATAATTGTAAATAAGAAGCATTAAGATGCTTATCTTAACATACTAAGAAGGTTAGGTGAGGTCGGTGTTTTCTATGAAGCTTTTCAAGGTAAACTAAAATATTCACAATCAATTAGTATGTCACATATGCACTTATTAAATAAGCCAATATTGACAAAAGCAAGTACGAGAACGGGTTGCATCTCTTGGCCTCTTCCTAAGGCCCAGACCTCGTGGCAGGTAAACGTTTCGCTCTGAACAATGTTCTTCACGAGCGAAACTTCCTCCGTAATGGATTGTTCTTTTTTGGTGATCTTCCTGACAGCTATGTTAGCAACCTTCCCCTCATGTCAGAGGGGTTTCCTTAGCAACCCGTCCCTTCATATCCGGGGTTTTCCCCCTAGTTCACGTGGTTTGTAGACATCAACTCACCCGATGTACTGACTAGTTGTGCTTGCGGGGGTTGAGCTCTGGCTCTTGGGTGTCGACAATAGTGTTCTTAAAGTTCAAGTATGTTTATTGAGACAAAGAAATACGTATCAAAGCGATAGAGTAGCTTAGGCTATTTCTACCCCCCCCCCACACACAGTGTTCTTCATCTCATTGTTCTCTGCAGGTTTCCCATTGGCACTGGGATAGCCGGGATAGTGGCGCAGAACGGACAGGTGTTGAACATTCCGGACGCGTACGCTGACCCGCGCTTCAACCGGACAGTGGACCAGCTAACCGGATACGTTACCAAGTCGATCCTGTGCATGCCCATCTTCATCAGAGGCAACGTTATTGGCGTTATGCAGATGGTTAACAAGGCCACTGGTGCCTTTAGCAAGGTAGGTGGGTGTGGTATGGTGATAGGGGCGCTAGGTGGAAGTGGCTAGGTGGGTGGAATGGGGTGAGAATAGGTGGGGGATGGGTGGTTACAGACGGATGGGAGGATAGTTTTCGTTCAGCCAAGGGGGGATACGAAAATTGGGGATTTGCAGCAATTAGAGTGAGGGATTGTATGGCAGAGGCTGGGGGGGGGATAGTTGAGGTAGCAGACCACTATAGTCCACTATAGTACAGACCACTAGTCGGGAGCCGGTCGGCCGAGCGGACAGCACACTGGACTTGTGATCCTCTGGTCCCGGGTTCGATCCCGGGCGCCGGCGAGAAACAATGGGCAGAGTTTCTTTCACCATATGCCCCTGTTACCTAGCAGTAAAATAGGTACCTGGGTGTTAGTCAGCTGTCAGGGGCTGCTTCCTGGGGGTGGAGGCCTGGTCGAGGACCGGGCCGCGGGGACACTAAAGCCCCGAAATCATCTCAAGGTAACCTCAAGATAGTGGTAGGATAGGAGAGCCTGGGAGAGTGTTGAGATTGATGGGACGATAGATGGTTACCGTAGACTACCCAGAGACAAGAACGGTAGTGAATGAACTGCTGAAATTACACAGGAGTGAAGATGCGTTAATTGGGAGTAACGTAGTGAGTGGAGGGCGTTACTGGTGGGAACTTGTCGATACATCACCTGGTGTACTGTTCCATCCACTCTCTGTACTGTTCCATCCACCCCTTATACTGTTCCACCCACCTGTAGTGTTTCACGGAGCCCCTTATTGCTTTCTAACCACCTCTTGAAATATTGCACCCCCCCCCCCTGTATTTCACCTATCTTCCATAGTGTTCCATCCACCACCTGTAGTGCGTCACCCTCGTAGTGTTTTCCCAGTCATTGTGTGGTGTTCCACCCAACACCGCTAATGGTCCACTTGTAGTGTTCCACCTGCCTCTGTAGTATTTCAGCTGTTGTGTTCCGCCCACCATCTCTAGTGTTCCACACAGGAGGACGAGGAGTCGTTTGAGATGTTCGCCATCTACTGCGGCCTTGCTCTACACCACGCCAAGCTCTACGACAAGATTCGTCGCTCAGAACAGAAGTATAAAGTGAGTGACCCGTCTCTTAATTCATTCCTTCCTCCGTCCCTTACGCAAAGTACAGCTCCTTATACCTCCTTCCCCACTCCTTGCATCCTGTTGCTCTCTTCACTACTCGTCTCATCCTTCATTGCTCCATTCCTCACTTCAAGCTTCTCCGTGTCGTTCCTTGTTCACGGATTGTCTTTCTCTCCAAATTTCATTCTTCTCTCTTCTTCCCTTATCTTACTGTTCACCTGTGACTGTCTTGAAGAGTTGCTTTCCTGTTGGGGCCATGGAAGATCACCCTATGGTCCTCATACCCAGAGGGTTGGTACCACTAGCTGCTTCATTGGTCCACATAACCAGAGGGTTGGTACCACTAGCTGCTTCATTGGTCCACATACCCAGAGGGTTGGTACCACTAGCTGCTTCACTGGTCCACATAACCAGAGGGTTGGTACCACTAGCTGCTTCATTGGTCCACATACCCAGAAGGTTGGTACCACTAGCTGCTTCACTGGTCCACATAACCAGAGGGTTGGTACCATCTTCTGTTACATAATTTGATCCCAACGTCGACTTCCAACAGCTGCTAAGAAACTGGGGGCAGAAAATTTTTAAACCCTCCTCTTTCTCTCTCTCTCTCTGTCAGTCAAGTCTTGATTATAAGTTTCTCAGCCTTAGAGGCTCTCTTTCACCCTCTTAGATGGAGTGGGGGCGCTGGTTATAAAGATTTCCTGTCTGGATAAACCTCATTTAATGGATCTCAAATCACAAGGCACTCGGTTGCATTTACATACGAAGGCACTCTTTAGGCTGGAGTGAAACGCTTGATTATTCAGGGGTCTCATTTAACTTTACTTTAAAGTCTTGCGAGATGCGAAGGGCATTTGTCTTGGTAATTTGATGAGTCTTGAATGTTTCGCTTGGCCTCCAGGCGGTCACTTTGGGCAAAGACTTGTCCTTTTTCCTATCTAAGGAGAGGTGCTTCTGTGTAAAGGCTGTGGTCTCTCTTCATCCTTCTCTTTATCTTCCATATCATCGTCTTTCTCATCTCCACTATCGTCAGTACAACCTTCCTTCCCTAGATACACATATTCTTTTCACAATATATTTCTTCTCTCTCCTTTACCCTTATTCTTTGTTTATCCCTCTTTCAGCCCTTAATTTTCTTTTATCCCTTCTTTTAATCCCTCTTCTCATCTTTCTCTTTCCCACCCTCTGCTTCCTAACCTCCTAACAAACCCTTCAGTCCACCCTGAGATAAACTATCTATCTATATATATATATATATATATATATATATATATATATATATATATATATATATATATATATATATATATATATATATATATATATATATATAACAACAACAATATACTGTAGATTTTGTTGCCTGATTGTTATCGGACGTAAATGTATATTTTTTACATTTATGCCTCATAAATGTGTATATTATTTTGTTTAAAGCACGTGGTTCTGTCACCCCCAGTCATGTTGTCCTGTCACCCCCCCCCAGTCACCTGGTGCTGTCACCCCCCCCCCAGTCATCTGGTGCTGTCACCCCCCCCCAGTCATCTGGTGCTGTCACCCCCCCCAGTCATCTGGTGCTGTCACCCCCCCCCCCCCAGTCACCTGGTGCTGTCACCCCCCCCAGTCATCTGGTGCTGTCACCCCCCCCCAGTCACCTGGTGCTGTCACCCCCCCCATTCACCTGGTGCTGTCACCCCCCCCCCAGTCACCTGGTGCTGTCACCCCCCCCAGTCACCTGGTGCTGTCACCCCCCCCCCAGTCACCTGGTGCTGTCACCCCCCCCCCAGTCACCTGGTGCTGTCACCCCCCCAGTCACCTGGTGCTGTCACCCCCCCCCCCCCCCAAGTCACCTGGTCCAGTCACATGGACCAGTCACCCCCAGTTACCTGGTCCAGTCACCCGGTCCTGTCACCCCAGTCACCTGGTCCTGTTACCCCCCCCCCCTTCCCCAATGTTTCGGTCCAGTCACCCACAGTCTCCCGGTCCAGTCACCCCCCAGTCTTCCGGTCCAGTCACCCCCCAGTCTTCCGGTCCAGTCATCCCCCAGTCACCTGGTCCAGTCACCCCTACTCACCTGGTCCAGTCACCCCCAGTCTTTCGGTCCAGTCACTCCCAGTCTTTCGGTCCAGTCACGTGGTCCAGTCACCGCCAGTCATCCGCAGTCACCTGGTCCAGTCACCCGATAATATCAGCTGTGAGAGAAACAGACACAGGGATGACGTCAGCAGCGTGGGGCGTATGAACACACAGCCATAAGGTCGTATGCCATTATAAGATATCTGGCAGAAATGGTCCCTATGGTCGTCATACATACAGCTCCTTGTCTTTCGCCTCCGCTAAATTCTTAACCAAACTGGAGTGAGGAAGTTAGATAAAGCATTATTTTGCTATTTTCATTTTTTGGGAAGCGTTTCAGAGACCTTTGCTGTTTTACCTGAGTTTACCTGAGAGACACTAGTGGCCTCGATGAGGACAGGAAGGCGGCGGCTTGTCGATGGTCAATTTTTGCCTTGTGAATCCCAAGGGTATTCACAAATCCTTGTGAATATTTAAAGGGTTTTCGCTGTGATTTGGTGTTTTAGTTGAATCGTCCCTTTAGTATACTTAATGTGGTATTTAAATTTCTTCGGTCCCATTCAGCTGTCAAGAACAGTCGAGAACAGTTCATAGCTTATGGAGAAGAACGAATATTTGTCAAGTTAAAGTATTACGCTTTTTATATTACTGTACAAATCAAACAAAAGGATTTTTAAGTAAGAGATCTCTTTCTTAAAAGATGTTTCTTAGTGCTATCTCCGTGTATGGAAGAAGATCCGTAAAATAGCCGGCAAATTTGTTCCAGATATGGTCACTGCTTGATCGCAAGCGGGGATGTTTCTGGCGGGGGAGAAAGAAACAATTGCGCAGCGCGTCCCGCGGCGTTGCGCGGGCAGTTTGGGGCCGTATAAATACGGGCGCACAATGGGGCTCTGCCCTCACTCCGCCTGCCCTCGCCGCTGCCCTCGCAAAACTTTGTAATTTAGGTTTCGTATATGTTGCAGCACCATTGACGTACTTTGCTAGCTGTTGTTTATGCGCCAACATTCCTTCGTTATTCTTTTTTCTTTAATATATAGAGTTCTTACAATCTTGTCAAGCCACTAACACGCATATAACATTTCGGGCAGATTCTTAATCTTAATTTTCCGTGGAATACGACAAGCCAAAATCGTTTAACAACCAGGTACTCATTCACTGCTGGGTGAACAGAAGCGTGCAGGTAGAGAACAAATCCACAAGGGCCTTGACGAGGATTCGAACCTGCGTCCGGGGGCATCCCAGACACTGCCTTAATCGACTGAGCTACGACAGGGTTAAAAGGGTTAAAACCGAAGTTCTGCTGAACTTACTGGCCCTTGGCCCTTGTGAATTTGTTCATTTGATGCATCACGTTAGTGTGATCTCTGTGTATGGTGCAGGTAGAGATTGCACACCTGGTCAATCCTCCCCGCCCAGGATACGAACCGAGTTTTGCCAAAGCCCTGGCAAAGCGCGGGGCACTTAAAATTGAACATGCACACAAGTAGTTGACCAATGAGGACTGTGGTACGAGTGGTCCTCTGCATAATACAACTATTTACAACTTCTAGTTAGGCCTGCACATGATTGTTCTACAGCTGGTGACCACTTAAGTCATGGATGAACTGCCACGCTGATTAATAACTGTAATGACTGTAGATTAAGTACATTACCTAGTCTTCACCTAATCACCCAAAGCTGAGTTTATACTGAAGGAAAAAAAATTATTCTGGATAAATATTTTTTTATTTTAGCCTCTGTTCCTGAATATTTGGTGCAGTTCGTGTAAAATCGACTGGTGCCTGTGCCTTGGTTCTTCTAGTATGTTCTTTAATTAATACTTAAGTTGCATCCCCTTTCAGGTAGCCCTTGAAGTGCTAAGTTACCACAACTGTTGCACTGATGATGAGCTTGAAACTCTTCAAGCCGACTCTTTAGCGAACGCACTGCCAGGTGTCGATGAGTAAGTAAACTTTACTAAGACCAGTCAGCGTAGCTAACCATCTTGATGTGTCTTCAGCAGTAAATTTGTTGTCTGTGGGTAATCATGTTTTCTTTCCATGCTTCTGTCGAGGAATGACTAACTTTGTAACTAACCTTTCTCTCTGATTATTCTCCTTGCAGGGCCTATTGAACTATGCCAAGGAATGTTAATGTCAAGTTAAAGGTGAAGTATGTTTCATCTATAACAATGAACCTCTGTAACATTCCATGAATTAATAAAATCCTTAAGTATTCAGCGTCTGCATATTCGTATTACTGAAAACAATATACAAATAATTATATTTCATCATGGAACGAAAACATTGCTTTGTTGTTTCATAGGCTACTGCAAGCCCCTCTTGTTGGTTCTTCCTTTCCGAACCCCATCATATACATCCACTTGAATGCTAAATAGCTCCTTCCTTGTCAACTTTTCCAGGTAGCTCTGGAAATGATGAGCTACCACAGCAGTTGTGTGGAGGAGGAACTTGACAAGTTGTTAAGGGAGGATGTGCCCCCTGAGTTACCTGACGTGGATAAGTAAGTATAGGCTGAAGGGCGGGCTGCGTCAGACAATTTGGCTGCTTGAGAGGTTCCTCTGCCCTCGGGAACATTTCATAGTAATGACAAGGTCGAAGTAAAAGATCATTTAATATTAAGCAAAAAAAAAAAAAGTACGTACATTTGACAAGTTGTGTTCATTATTTTGCATCTATCCGGAATGAACTGTTGGCAGACTTTGCTTCCGAGTGTGAAGGACTCTGAAGATCACCAGTCAATCTGGGGATATTGTTAAATTGTCTAACGCAGCCTAACATGACAAATTCCCCCAATGAGCATCATTCGCCACTGATGGAAATTCAATAATGCTCTTCTGGCTTCATCATTTTACTGAGGCGAGCATAGGTTTATTTCGAATAGGCTACACATTCTTCCTACTTTCTGTAAGCTGATCTTATGCTTAATAGTTACATAATTAAAAGGGGACTTGATTGTCTTAGTGTGCTTATTAGAGGAAGTATTTTGCCAATAGTGGACTATAGATTAATTAGTATTTTGTCTGGGTTCATGAGTCCCGAAAACCTCCGCTATCATATGGCCTAAAATGAATGTAGAGGACTCTTAACTTGTTAAATATTGATCCTTTTAAAATGTTATCCTACCAATAGTGATATTATCATAAGCTTGAACTTTCATATAAATAGTGAGCTTATCCTGCCATTATTAACCTTATCTTGCTCGATTCTATCAAATAATTGTTATCTCGTTAACAACTTAGCCTTTTAATTAGATATGCTTATGTGGTTTGGATTACGCCTATATTTAAGTTCCCACACAGTTAATTTACACCTGTTTTCTGTTGTATATAGTCTTTGAATTTGATCTTTCTGGCCACAATGACTGAAGCACTTGTGCCAGACTCTCAGTAGAGCACCAGAGCATGATCAAGCAGGGAACATTATTGTCATTATTCATGGCCTAAAGTAGTACCAGTGAAAAGTGTAAATGATGTTTCACTATACAGGCAGCATAAGAGATTTAAGTGAAGCAAGATATTTCCAAAGGGTATTACGATGCTCCGATGCCGAAACAAATTTGCAGACGATGAGTCACAATAACGTGGCTGAAGATATGAAGATGAGACGACGACGTTTTGGTCCGGATCATTATCAATTGACTTGATAATGGTCTAGGGCGGACCGAAACGTCGTCGTCTCCTCATCTTCTAGTGTGTGGTTTAGCCGAGACAAATTTATTCAAATCCAATGGAGGCGGTTCGTAAGCTATGTAGAGTCGAGGTTTGTGCGCACTCGCGTCCTGATTCAGGGTTTGAGGGCTTCGCTGTTCGGTAGGGTTACCAACACTCCCATATAACACACCACTGTTCAAATTTCACCGCGGTATTAAAAAAAAAAGATATAAAATATCACTGCAATGTTAAACTATGAATACATATTCTTTACATTGCTGCTACATTGAGGTTCTATTGTTTAAATGCGAATTTATCATATTGCCGACGTTTGGGATGACAGCTTTGATTAAGAATAAACAAAAACTGAAATTTGTTCATTATAAATCATTTACCAAATTAAACTCACTTGATAAAGAGTTAGTAATTACCAAAAGGTGGGATTATATGTCTTGAGTTAAAGAATATTCAAAAGCGCTTACATATTTTCAAAGTGCCAATGAGATAGGAATTGGATTCACAGAGGATTGTATCGAAACACACACGGCTCAAAGGAACAGTGCGAAAACAAAATTTCCAATCGCCCTAAAAATCAGGACATTCTATGAAGAAATAAACAGTTATGAAAGAAACAGTGCAGTTTTTGACAGGAAGGCTCAGGTCTCTGATCCATCTCCACGAGTTAATTTTGCATGGCTAATACGCAATTGAACTATATGTTTAACACATCTCTAACCTTGTCCATGGAGGACTGAAGAAAATGTATATATGCTGGTTAGCATTGTAAACGTGTGGCCACGTCTATGGTAGAAAATAATAATAATAATAAAAAAAAAAAAAAAAAAACTATTTTTTTTACTTTCTGTTCTTTCTGGTACAGGCTACACTTTAATCTATGTAACTTGTTATCAGAAAAATAACCATCTATCAATGCAAACTATTACGGGTCGTCTTATGAATGACAAGGTTGTGAAATCCGGGTAAAAAATTTATTTTGGAAGATGGGGGGGGGGGGGGGTGAGCACAGCACCAACTTTTTAAAGAAATTTGAGATTACTATGTATTGTCTTGCATCCAAATCGTTTGTGATTTCTAATTCTAGAAGATCAAGTTTAATAGGTTATGTCTGGGCTGGAAATGTACAGTACAGTAGTCAAGAATATACTTTGACTTTTAGACAAACAGCAGGACGAACAGTGAAATCCTCATTGAAGTAGCGAACGCCATGCATTGGAGATAGTTAAGATAGTTAATATTGCTAGATAGTTCATTTCAAGTCTTCCATCCTCTCCATCAAAAATCACAACTCTCTCTTTCCGGTATGGTTTTCTTTTGCTTGCTTCTCTCTTCTGTATTGCAAACTGCATATAACTGTACATTGATTTGTAGAGGCATTTAGTTGCTTATTACATGCGTGGTATTGTAGAATTGTATAGATATTAACATATTATTTAATGTGTGTGCTTTGGCATTAGATAATCAAATCTACTAGTTTTATTTCATTATGCACTAGTAAGCACAAGCAGCCAGTAGTTGTAATATCTACACTCACATTATACTTAATGCTTCAGCAAATAGTTACTTAGTCGTGGCCATGTGTCTGGGAGATAGTCTGTTTTTGATGCTAGAAATGCATTTGCATACTATTTGTCGTTATCTTGAGTAAAATAATACAATTGACACGAAACAAACAGTAAAACTGAATGCAGCCTTGACGAGAACTGAAGCTCAAAAATTATCTATGCCGGCTAACTCAATGAAAATAGCACCAATGATTTCACAATAACATTACATGTTGTCCCAATGTTTTATCAATAAACCCTGACAGTATTCGAGGCCACTATTCTGAATGAGCTTCATACTATCCAGTTATGTTGACACTCTAGCATACTGTAGTAATGAAAAACTCGTTGAATGCATGTGGGGACGAGGCTGTCATCATTCGGTGTATGTAGATATGCCTCAGCATACACTCTGGTGTATTTAGAGGCATATAATAACCTGAAATGTAATCAAACTTTAATAAACACAATAGGACTTTAAAGAATATACAGTATATCTAATAAAGTGTACATTAAAATATTGCTCAAATTAAGTTGTGGGGCTTGTACCACTCTTGCGAATTGAAGAAATTCACATGATGTAGACAAGTATCACTAGCAAAAATGTATATTTTGCCAATATTAAGACCATAAAAAGTGCTAGAAATTATGGTTTTCAATATTTTGCTATTTTAATGAATAATTGTCTATTTCCTATGACTTTTAAGAAATCGGGCATTTTGAACTGGAGATAGATCGTTAATTTGCCAGGAGTGTAGCCACATTCTAATATTCCTTATAAATGTTTAATGACTACCTGGTTTGCATTCAAGTTTGAGCTACGAATAGTTACAAGGCTGTCTATACCTTAGGCTAAGGGCGACCTCGCAGCGTTTCCAAGCAAGTACTATTGTGTTAACACAGACTAAGCCGCTATGTTTGAGGAATCGAGTAAACCTTTTATAAGTAGGCACCAAAGTGTTCGATAACTCTTGACCCAAGATTCTTCAGGCATGATAAGAGGCGCAGCGAAGCAGGTCATATATACGCTGCTCTCTAACTCATAGACAATTGATTAACTGGTTTTTAGCCGTCTTAGGCTCAGCTTAGATTTGTACTTTATACTTGGTAAATATTCATGAAATATAATATGTCAGTTATATTCTAAAAAATATGAAATAATATATTTCATATTATAATATAAAATAAAATATGACGAAATATAATATAATTCACACAGGTAGAAACAGAGTACCTAAATGAGCCACAGACATTAGAATATTTTTTGTTGGTATGAGAGTAAATAAATTGAATGCATTAGGAAGTGATGTGGTGGAGGCTGACTCCATACACAGTTTCAAATGTAGATATAATAGTGCCCAGTAGGCTAGGGAACCTGTACACCAGTTGAGAGGTGGACCAATAATCCGAAGCTCAATTAGGCGAGTCACATATGTCCTTACAGCTGAGCAGATAGTGCTTTGGGGTCATAATCCTAAGGGCCCTGGTTTGATTCCAGGTTGAGGCAGAAACAAAAGGGCAGAGTTTTCCACCTGATAGCATTGTTCACTAAGCAGTCAATAGGTACCTTGGGGTTAAACAGCTGCTTCAGGTTGCATCATGGGGATGTTTGTGTATGAGATAAATGTGTAGTAAATATGACAGAAGAAAAACAGGACGGTTTGACAGGCGGGATCTACGAGCCAACAGCTCGATCCTGCAGTCACAAAGAGTAAATATACACACATTGCTTGGAAATTTGACTCTAGTCTTGTTTCCAGGTGCATTTAAGAACATAAATACAATCTTGATATATAACAAATTTTTAATACAGCAATACTGCATAATAGACTAAGATCATACTTGTATAAATTGATAGAGAATGCTGTCGGGGGAACAAGGGTGATGTATATTAACTTGCAGGTTTTTAGCCTACCCTTCCCATGCTTGTGACTCTCCCATCACCAGCACGGAACCCACACTCCCCTGATCCTGTCACCCATCACCAGCATGTAACACCCCCCCCCCTGGCCCTGTCACCCATCACCAGCATGTAACCCTCCCCCCCCTCCCTGGCCCTGTCACCCATCACCAGCATGTAACCCCCCCCCCCTGGCCCTGTCACCCATCACCAGCATGTAACCCCCCCCCCTGGCCCTGTCACCCATCACCAGCATGTAACCCTCCCCCCCCCCTGGCCCTGTCACCCATCACCAGCATGTAACCCCCCCCTGGCCCTGTCACCCATCACCAGCATGTAACCCCCCCCCCTGGCCCTGTCACCCATCACCAGCATGTAACCCTCCCCCCCCTGGCCCTGTCACCCATCACCAGCATGTAACCCTCCCCCCCCCCTGGCCCTGTCACCCATCACCAGCATTTAACCCCCCCCTGGTCCTGTCGCCCATCACCAGCATGTAACCCCCCCTCCCTGGTCCTGTCACCCATCACCAGCATGTAACCCCCCCCCCCTGGTCCTGTCACCCATCACCAGCATGTAACCTCCCCCTGGCCCTGTCACCCATCACCAGCATGTAACCCCACCTCCCTCTTCCTGTCACCCATCACCAGCATGTAACCCCCCCTGGTCCTGTCACCCATCACCAGCATGTAACCCCCCCCCCCCTGGCCCTGTCACCCATCACCAGCATGTAACCCCCCCCCTGGTCCTGTCACCCATCACCAGCATGTAACCCCCCCCCCTGGCCCTGTCACCCATCACCAGCATGTAACCCCCCCCCCCCTGGTCCTGTCACCCATCACCAGCATGTAACCCCCCCCCTGGCCCTGTCACCCATCACCAGCACATAACCCACACCCCCTGGTCCTTATACCCATCACCCCAGCACCCCCCCCCCACGTCTTGCCATCTCACCCATCACATCCATATAACCCCCCTCCCCATAGCTTTCTCAACCATCACCAGCACATAACCCACACCCCCTGGTCCTTATACCCATCACCCCAGCACCCCCCCCCCACGTCTTGACATCTCACCCATCACATCCATATAACCCCCCTCCCCATAGCTTTCTCAACCATCACCAGAACATAACCCACACCCCATGCTCTCTCATCAATCGCCCACACTCACCCGTCACCAGTATGCACCCCCCTCCCCCCCCCTCCCGGCATTCTCACCCATCAATTAGTATCCACATCCATTACTGGCATCTATCACCAGCAAGCAACAGTATGAAAGTTATAACAAACCACACGCAGGTAAATATCTAGAGTATTTGAAAATTGCTTCAGTGCAGTTTACAGTTACAGGGCAAAATGAAGAAAAACTAAATTTAGTTGTGCTCGTGGGCAAAAGTTAGGGCAAATTGACATATGCCGGGCATTTGCCATGATGCCGACATTGGTGTGGTCAGGAAATAACCTCATCCATCAATAAACCCCTCATTCATCAATAAATCTCCCACCCCCCCATGAATACTTGTGATTCGCCACCGTCTGCTGCTGCATTAGCCTTTCTGCTGCCCCCTCCCCCTCACAACCTTCCCCCCTGATATCCTGACCCCTACTTTACCACTGCTAGTTACTCTACTCTCTAATATCTTTTGCAGCTACTACTTCTGCCCACTATATATGGAAGACATGGACAAGGTTCGACACGCCATATACATGTTTGTGGATCTATTTGGTCTGTCACGATTTGACAAGGAGTGTCTTATCCGGTTTACGCTGACCGTGAAGAAGAACTATCGGCGTGTTCCTTACCACAACTGGACCCATGGATTCAGTGTCGCAAACTCCATGTACACTATTATTAAGCATGCCCCTAGGGCTTTCCGACCGCTAGAGGTAAGTGATTTTTTCTATAAGTTCTTAAGTACTAACTGGAGATGAGCTAAGGGGGTGAAGAGAATAATGGAAAAACCAGGAAAATGTAAAGGTAGTGACAGTGAAATAAGTAATGAAGTGGGGAGCAGGTCACATAGTGAATAGTAGAGGTAAGGCTAAGAGTGTTGTCAGTTAGAATAACAAAAGTTAGTTGATAGCCCCAAGGGCGTGGATGAGCAGGTCGTAATGTAGGATGGATATATTTTTTACAGCCTTTTGGGCTCAAAGATAAGCAATAGAACCTTTATCCATTCAGTGCAATATAGATTGGTAATGTACACTGAAGGATTTTTCATAGTACAGTAATATAAATGTTGCATCAATAATTTGGGCAAAGAAAATTAATTAAATGGGAGTTTTTTATAATTGAAACCCATACGTGTGATAACGGAAATGACAAAGTTTTGGTCCCCTCTGGACCCGTCATTATAAAGTCAAAACTGAAGGAAGGAGGGAAAACGCAAGAGCCAATGTGAGGTGCAAGTTTATAAAGGAAAATATGAATACCGAGCTAAAGACAAATCCTTACAAGAAGAATGGAAAACTAAACAAATAAGCAGAGAAGGGAAAGAGAGCACATTTAAAAAGTATATAAAGAAAAATCTAAAAAAAAAAAAAAAAAAAGGGGGGGGGGGCACCAGAAGAGAAGAAAAGCACAGAGGGACAGTCAGATTATGCTTACTAAGAATGTTAGAGCATTTCATTATGTACTTAGAAAGGTAAGAGTCAACCGCATCAAAGCCATAACTAATTAAGATACAGTATATGTTGGGACTCTGTGTATTGGAGCCAATTCAACAAGGGTGTTATTTTAATTTTCATGTGTGGGGGGGGGTGGGGGGGTTGTTATTTGTTTTTCAGCTACATCCTTGACTTATTCATTGCAAAATCAAGCAAATTTATTATTAATTCTGTCATACAGTGCCTGGCCCTGTACATTGGTTCACTGTGCCATGACCTGGACCACCGTGGCAAGAACAATAAATTTATGCTAGAGACAGAGAGTCCGCTGGCAGCCATCTATACCACCTCCACCCTGGAGCACCATCACTTCAACCAGACTGTCACCATCCTCCAGCAGGTTAATGCCCCATCCCTAAGCAATGTTCTATAGGTGAATCCTGTATAATTTTTTTTTAGCACAGTTTATTTTTACAGAACTTGCAGTAAAGTGGCTAGTACAGTATGTAGGCCTACACTGGATTGGACTCGATTTATTCTGTCATGACCATATTTTTGTAACTGTTGCTATAAAACCTACGTAGTAACTAATTTCTTGGTGATGGCAAACAAATTATTAACATTAAGTGCATTCTTTGAAAAGTACAATCTTGCCGAGCCACAGTGCTGAAGAGGCAACATAAAGTTGATCTTCTCTCTAAGAATAGTGACCCTATGAAATAGACAAGCTGCTGAAGCTGCAATGAAACGTAGAATAGTATGGGAATTCAAAATACTCTTGCAAAGTCATCAGGAAGACTGATCCTCTCCTGACCCCAGCCACAACCACTAGTCTGACTATCGGGTAAAAACTTGTTACTAAAAGAAACGTTGTATGTTGCAGGAAGGCCATAACATCTTTGGGAAATTGACTTCTAATGAGTATAAACAAGTGTTGGGCAACATCAAGCACTGCATTCTTGCCACTGATCTCGCCATGTTTTTCCCCAACAAGGCCAGACTCGCCAAGCTGGTTGAAGATAACCTCTTTGACTGGGAAAATCCAGACCACAGGTAAGATATTTCAGATGCAGTACTATATGTATTCACCTAGTTGTGTTTGCTGGAGTTGAGCTTTGGTCTTTTGGCCCATCTCTCAACTGTCAATCAACTGTTTACTAAATATTTTAAAAGATTATATTCAGACTTTGTTCACATTGCATTGATCTGTCTCTCAATACTGAAGAAAAGAGAGTTGCAAAAAACTTGAGGATGAAGAAACATCTACTAGCTGTAGAATCTTAGATTTATTCTGGTCCAACGTGAGTCTGTTGTATTACAGTATACAGTAATTGTAAATATGCCTGTCTAAAATGCCTGTGCAGTCATGATTATAATTTCACAGTAATTACAAGGGCATCCCTTTTAAATTTTTAGGAGGCCATTAATATGCCTAATTTCCCCAATTATATTTATCCCTAAAATCTACATGTTAACATCTGGTAAAATGTTTTAGAACATTATAATTTAGAAGAAACATGCACCACATTTATATATCCCTATAAGTCAGTGATAAATTTTGCCAATCATTGCATATCATAGGTACTCCTTAACCCTGCAACATATCTGATTCTCTACAGAATCCTCATTGAGGCTATTGCCATGACAGCCTGCGACTTGTGTGCCTCTGCTAAACCTTGGGATGTCCAAGTTGAGACTGTCAAAGTCATCTTCGAGGAATTTTATGAACAGGTAAGACCACTAATGTTTTGTAATACAAAATCTTACAGTAGAGGCAGAAATTTGCCTGAAAGGCTGTGCATGATTAGCAGCCTTATTAAAAACTAAGAGTTGAATGTAATGAAATTCCTCTTACTGGGTGAGCCCACCCCTGGGGCACGGGGTTTAGCTCGAGGCGAGCCACACTTCAAGCTAAACCCGGCCCCAACCCAGAAACCTTCAGACGTTTCTGAACCAGAAGCAGGAGGAGAGGATCAGAAGGTTGAACCACACCTGCAGGGGAAGGAAAAGGACACGTGGATGGAGCCAAGGTGGAGTTCACCAACACCTCCAATTCCTGGTCAATAAAACACAAAGTAGTCCATTTCTGGAGCATCCAAATGGGCACACAACCTAGACCACTCTAGGCAGGCAGTTCAGACCCATAATGTGGTAGTCACCTGATATGCACAAACTTTGTCAGTAGGGTCATAAATGTGAGCCACATGGGGAGCACAAACCCCACAGGACTCTAGGTAGTGTCTTCAACCCAACAGGCAGAGGCAAAATGAATGAGCATTGCCTCGTGGCACGGGCGACAAACTAAGCTCAAATTTTTACAAGGAAAGAACGGGTTTGAAGGGAATATCCTTAGGCCAAACAAACCCATAACAGATTTTCCAAGACCTAAAGAGTAAACCAAGCAAGTGTAGCATCCCTAGCACTGGAGATGTTACAACAGATAAAAAAGTAAGCTGACACAGCCTGGGCTATATAGCTGTGAAGGCCAACCTTGGCATGCTGTATATGCTTGCGAGCTACCATTACACCCCACCAGCCAATGTTCATGCCCAACGGGTCAAGACAAAGAGGCAACAAGACCTGTGACTCACCCTAGGTGAGCACCACCCCAAGCAGGAAAGACTAAGGGAGCAAACTCCCAAACACACCAGAGAAGAGAACTGTCAGTGCAGGGACAGTGACCACGGTGTGCAACTTGCAGTAAAAAAGCCAGCCTTAAGCTTCAAGGAAAAGAAAGTGTACAACTCTACAAGTCTGGTGCGCTCTCCATCTAGACTACTGTATCCAAGCATAGAGACCTCGCCTTCAGAAAGACATGTCTTCCTTGGAGAAAGTTCAACACAGTGACAAAAATCATCCCAGAAATAAGCCACCTCTCATACCAGTAAAGGTTAAGGGCCACAAGACTAACAACACTGCAAACCAGACATGACAGAACTGATATCACTGAGGATATTAATCCAGACCACTTCTTTAAAGGATTAAATGTAACACATTCAAGGTGCAACAACTTCAAGCTCAACAAGCTAGTGTAGGACAGAAAACAGGAGATGCTTCAGGTAAATTTTAAAATACTTTATACCACTGTCTTGCTCTTTATGGCATTGATAGGTATGTAGTTCTGTAGGCTTATTGCACAGGTGAAACCGACATTTCTCAAACTTAATAAGAATTGCAGATATTACTGAGAAAGAGGGATTATTCTTAATTGATCCCTTTCTAAATGTGGTTAATTTAACAAGTATGATGAATAAGTTCTTGAGCACTAACACTGATTACACTATTTTGTTTAATTTGTGAAAGATATGTAATATCATAGTTTTACATACAGGGTGATGCTGAGAAAGCAGCAGGAAAGACGCCTATACCAATGATGGACAGGTCCAAAACAGATGAGCAGGCAGAATCTCAAGTGAGTTCTTTATCTCAAAGAAATACCCACGTGCATGAATTAACTTCTTTGCATTCGTTAGTCATTCAATTAATTACTGTATGCACATTTTGCACATAATATTTGTTTCTTGAAAATATACCAAGATCTATAGAATTTGACTGAATTTTTATAACAAACATTTAGGAAATTTTTAGAAATATTTGTATTTTTGTGATCCACGTTGTAATGGTAAATATGATCTAATTGCAGTATATAATATTTTTCTACTCTTTTGAACTTGGTGAATGAAATCTTGGTAGTTGAGCCTGAGTCTGAAGCCACACTGAAGTTATGTATTTTCACATTATATTCTTTCATTGATCAAGGTTGGATTCCTGTCTGGCATCTGTATTCCATGCTATGAGCTGCTCTACAAGCTCATTCCTGACACAGAGCCTCTGCTCACTGGCTGCAAAAATAACTTGCAAACATGGAAACGTATCGCTGCCGAGCAGACAAAAGACACCAGTAGGAATAAAGAGGAAGATCGTGAAGATACTGATACAGGAATACAAGAGGTTACTGAGGAGGGAGAGTGTGAAGAGACACTAGAAGAAATTGATGATAAGTGTATCTCTGCGAAAGGTGGCACTGGAAAAGACGACGATACCTAAGACAGTGATGTTTTGTTTGATTTTGGAGTGGTTTAGTGTATATAAAATTTACCGGTACAAATACAGTAAGTTCTATTGCCGTTGCAGAGATAGCAAATCAAAATGCAAAGAATGATCTTTTTACAATTACTGTGTACTAACAATTATGCTCCCAAGGATAAGTTACAATTACAGTATATGGAAGCCATAGACATAATTGTTAGAAAAAGTGCCATATTACTTTGAGCAAAGAACTCTTCCATATGAGTGTAGCGCAAGACTGGGTTTTTACACCAGAAATGCAGCGCATATATTTTTCTCTTACAGAATTATTTTAGATGTAATAAAACAAATTTTGATGTTACAAGTAAAATAACTGACAAAAACAGTTTTTATTTTACGGTATGGCATATGATAACCTTGCACTCAGGAGTGAGTGAGGGTACCCAGCAGGCAGAAGACATCAAATTGATGTCATCCTAAGGGCCATGTGAAATCACACCATTATACAGCTACAGACCAAATTTTAAATCCATTTTTTAGGTAAGTCACAAGGCAGAGAGGATATAGAGCAACCTTTGCACCACTTACATAAACTGATTTACTAGAGAAATTAAGAGTCTAAATACCCTACTAACCATACATACCGGCGTATATGTTGACCCCAAAAATTTAGAGGTGTATTTCAGGTTTAGGCCTATATTCAGTGCATAAAATGACCCCCCTCAAAATAAGGCAGCACCACTGTATGGAAGGAATAACTATGGTATCTCATAAATGTACTGCAACTTAACGAATATTTACCCACATAAAGCAGGTGGTGTCAGTGGTTGCCAAGGACCTGCCTGCCCCACCCCATGCTCCTTCCCTGCCAACCATCAATCCCCCGCTCGCCCTCCTTTCTGGCCACCCTGCCTGTCGTTCTGGCTTCCTCATTCCCTGCTTCCCTCCCTCCCTCCCTCCCTCATCAGTTTGCCAAGAAATTTTGATAATTTCACAAGTGAAGATTATCAAAATAATTGTGATGGGCTGCAAGAGTTATGAGAAGTGGTGTACAAGGAGGGTTAAGCTGAGCATTTCACTTGTTTATCTCTGTGGTAAAGGTTCACATTTTATGTTCAGCAGACAAGTTGACCCCTGGTTTTTTTTTTTTTTTTTTTTTTTTTTTTTTTTTTTTTTGAGATATATACAAGAGTTGTTACATTCTTGTACAGCCACTAGTACGCGTAGCGTTTCGGGCAAGTCCTTAATCCTATGGTCCCTGGAATACGATCCCCTGCCGCGAAGAATCGTTTTTTCATCCAAGTACACATTTTACTGTTGCGTTAAACAGAGGCTACAGTTAAGGAATTGCGCCCAGTAAATCCTCCCCGGCCAGGATACGAACCCATGACATAGCGCTCGCGGAACGCCAGGCGAGTGTCTTACCACTACACCACGGAGACTGCAAATATACATTTGGATATACAGTATTCTTTTAGGCTTCAAATGTTGACACATATGCCGGTATATAAAGTTTTGAGCTGAACCCAAATAGACAAATTGGTTCCTGGAGGGAGCTTGATACTACATGGCCATATATGACAAAGTTCACTGTGTTCAAACATTTAAATAAGATTTTGATGCTGTTCTGCATAATGTATTAGAAGTGATTATTGAATGGCTGCAGTAGTGGAAGTATGCTGAGGCTTCACTACACAACTCTTCACTATACACAACTATTACCATATCCATCTTCATTACACACAATCATCACTAACACTTTAACAACAGTATTCACTACTCGGGCACTGCTGGGTAGCCCCATCTACAAATCATCATTATCTTCCCAAATTTGATCACCTACTCCTTTCCTTTCCTTTCACCACCTTCCCTACCCTTTACCATCTTCCATACCCTTCACCACCTTCCTTACCTTTAACCTTCTTCCACTATCCTTCAGCACCTTTTCTACCCTTCACCGCCTTCCCTACCCTTCACCGCCTTCCCTACCCTTCACCGCCTTCTTTACCTTTAACCCTCTTCCACTATCCTTCACCACCTTCCCTACCCTTCACCGCCTTCCCTACCCTTCACCGCCTTCCCTGCCCTTCACCGCCTTCCCTGCCCTTCACCGCCTTCCCTGCCCTTCACCGCCTTCCCTGCCCTTCACCGCCTTCCCTGCCCTTCACCGCCTTCCCTACCCTTCACCGCCTTCCCTACCCTTCACCGCCTTCCCTACCCTTCACCGCCTTCCCTACCCTTCACCGCCTTCCCTACCCCCTCACTGCCACCTCAACTCTTAACTTTCTCTTATCCCTGTAACCATTTTCACTAAGCACTGTTTTCATCCAATAAACAAAATACATAAGAGACTAACATTTAATTATCATTTAAAAAATAATATGCCAGATGAATCTTAGTGATGATAGTCTGCTATTTGACGAGAATGAAAATTAATAAAGTTTGCCATTTCATGCAAAAGGGGGGGGAGGGGGAGGGGGAGGGAGGGGATGAGGCTTGACCCTAATTCCGCCTATAACCATCCCAAAACAAAACCAGTTGTTCTGCTAAGTTTGGCGAGACTAGCCCTGGTCACCAATTTTGGACAGAGACATTCTCTTATATATGGATAGATGTTTTCATCAATACAGCCATCTTTCTCTTCACCTGATGCCTCTGTTAACATAGCAGGAAAAAAGGTAACTAGGGACAGGTCAATAATTGGCCTTGGGAGACTAAGTCCAAGTACAGGTTTCCTGTCCCCCCCCCAAGAATATGAATCTCCTTTGTGTGTTCTTTCATAAGCACTGTTGCTACAAAAAAATAAGAATGCCTACTGGGCTTATATGTATGTGAACAAATTACTAGTTAAGGCTTACTAAGTAACCAAAACATCAATTTTGAATACTAGCTGACACCTTAGTATAATATATTTTTGTATAAGGTACTGTAAGAATGTTGAGGGAAAAGAATGTGAATCAAGAAGTGTGATAGTGTTATCAGAAGGTTTCCCAGATTTGTGGTATGGCCAGATTTTATTGTATAGAAGTAAGGCAGGTACATGTAATGTCAACAAGGAGACTACAAGTGCTAGAAACAGATTTTCTACGTAATGTTCAGTTTAGTGCATCCAAAAGCCAAAATAAGGTGCAAAGCTAATATCAAATTTTTAATATGTTATGCAGTTTTAACTAATATTAAAACTATATGAAATAACTTTTTGCATTTAACTTGAATATATTATTTCTAAACACATTAAGATTTTGGGTGCTTTTGAATGTAGGCCTATTGGATTATAGATAATGAATATATAGACTGAGTATGCATATGAAATGTATGTTGACCAGTAAATCCAGTATCATGGAAGAACACTGAAGTAAATATTGCTAATTGCTGGATTATTAGGAACTATGTGAAATGATTACAGAGAAGTAATTTAAGTGAAGAAAGCGAAGAGAATGCAGACAAGCTGGATAAGGATGGTTCAAGATAATTGAGTATGTACAGTAGTGTAGTGTATGAACATTTAGTCAAGGGTGACAGTATAGGAGAAAGGATTATTATAAAATTGCTGTAGAGCCAAAACACAGAACGACTGAAAGAAATAATATCTATTGGAAGAGCTATATTAATTAATGAACTCGAGCTAAAGACCCAAAATGTGAGTATTTTTGGCTGTGTTTATAAGATGAGTTTTTTTTTATATATTATATATATATAATAAACATTTTCCAATTACTTGTGGTGTGCTGCAAGGGTGAGATGTGCCTGTGGCTTCCAGCACTTGCAAATTATCATATAGCATAACAGCTTCTGGATTTCTTGCATGGCCTGAGACACAAGTTTCTCAATACAACCCCTGTCCCTTAGTAGTTATCAGAAATATGGCAAAAAGCTAATGTTTCATGTTACAAATAATATATTACCAGTTTTTGTTTTAGAAATTTTTAATGTGCCTATAAACTGGGTAATTGTAATGGTTGAAGCCTGAACTTTGTCTAATGGGATATGTCATAAATTTCATATTGTAAATTTTGTTATAAAGTATTTACTATTAAAACCTTATATAAATGGTTATCTACCCACCTACCACTGTACTTAGTTTTGACTAGTATACTAGTGTACTTCTATTGCCATTTATAAATGGTTTATCCATTTCCTGATTATATTAGCCATAAGAATCATTCCACCATATGTTGTGTAATTAGCACATTTCCATATACATAGTCATACTTAAAGTTCTTCCTAATGAAAGAAACCAGTATTTGTTATTTTCTTCACCCTCATTTTACACACTGTCATCTCATTTAAGCTAAGCCCATTAAATTATTCCTAATAATACTATTGCCTTGTATTAGAGTTACTAGTGCTACTGCCTTACTGTAACTACTGTACTCTAATGGCTCCACCCACTCACAGGGACCACTAGGCTTTAATTCTTGGGGAACCATGTAGTTGTCGGAGGTGAAGCTAATTGTAAAGGTTATGACAAATACAGTGAAATTATTTTTGCAAATAGATCCTTAATACTGTATTTCATTTATGTAAATATATATAAGAAACTGTGTACAGTGTATTCACCAATTCTGTAAGTAATTTTCATAGCATGTAGCATTAACATTTTAGAAACTAATGACCAAATATGAGCATCTGTTTACATTACTATCTATAAAGTCTTACCATAGTGACACAGGACAACGACTACATAGAAACAATTATCATAACTAATAACGCTATGCAAAACTAAATGCTATGCGTGTTAGTGACTTTGCAAGAATGTGACCCTCAAACACCAATTGGGTTGCGAGACCTCTCAAAGCCCAACGTACCTTTTTGTATGTATATAAATAAATAAGACAAAGCCACCATAAAATAAACACATGACAACAAATTATAGACTGTACAGCAACTTCCATTGCAGGTAGACAGTCAGACTCATTTAGGACCATCACTGGATTGACATTACTGATGTTTTCTGAACATTGTGTACCTGCTGGATGTTGGCCAACATATTACCAGTTGTAATTACCAACGTAATCACAGCAGTATGTGTACCACTGTAAATGCAGCCACACATGACCTTCATAAGCACAGCAACACATTAACTCAACAAACATAGAAACATGTATGGCCACCATAAACACAGCCACACGCGTGACCACCATAAACACAGCCACACGCGTGGCCACCATAAACACAGCCACACGCGTGGCCACCATAAACACAGCCACACGCGTGGCCACCATAAACACAGCCACACGCGTGACCACCATAAACACAGCCACACGCGTGACCACCATAAACACAGCCACACGCGTGACCACCATAAACACAGCCACACGCGTGACCACCATAAACACAGCAACACGCGTGATCAACATAAACACAGCAACGTATGTAGCCACCTGAAACACGTGTGACCAATACAGCAACATGTGCAATGAGCAACAACAAACACAGCAAGACATGGCCACCATTAAAAAGAATAACACGCATGAAGCGTGTTATAAACCCAGCATCATACATATAACCCCCAGAAACACAACAATACCATAAACATAGCAACATGTACTGTATGGCCTCTGTAAATACAATGTATTTGGCCCCATAAACAAAGTAGCTCAAGTGTTACGGTTGTCTCCATGACCAACATTAATTTCACCCTTGTCAGGGACTGTAATTTTAAGTTAACAAGTTTAATCGAAAGATTATTTATTATAGAGAAATAGACAAAATGTATATATTATATAAATTTTAGTGTATTAATCTTTAACTAGTGACCTTCAGTTCATCCACAAATATTTAATTAACCTTGTTTCATACTGTATATAATTTAGTAAATGTTCAAAAATATATTTGATCTTGTTTTTATTTGCTTAATTGTCTAATGATATACCTGGAAATGTTATGTCACTGTTTTACTTGAATCACGGTTTTAATATATATCATCTTAGGTTCTGAAAAATAATGAATTAATTCATCTAGGCTTATATAATATGGTGAATTCTTACCTCATTATGGGGCTAGACATTATGCTAGAACATAATGTCTAGACAGAACCAAACTGAAAAAGGCCAAACCTGGCAAACTGGGAAAGAAGCAGATTCCTAGCCTGCTGACATGCACATTGACTGAGAACCCAAACCAGGCAGTTGTCGAG